TTGCCTTGACATCTTTGTTAAAAATCAAATGACACTGTAAGTGTTGGCTATATTGGTTACATATTGCTGGATTAGATTTATCTTGTTATGATTTTTGCAAAAGTATTTATGAGAGATATTGATCTAAATACTTTTCTTGTAATATCTTTATCAAGTTTTGGTATAGGGTTTTGCTGACCTCATGAAGTGATTTTTGAGGTATTTCTTTCTCTATTTCCTGATGGAATTTGTGTACGGATTTCCTTTTTTGATATTTGATAGCATTTACCAGTGAAATTGTCTGTGCCTGGAATTTGTAGGGAGGTTTTTGAACATAATTCAAGATTTTTAAAGATACGACATTCACATTTTTAAATTTCATATTGTATCATTTTTAGTATGTTTTGTTTCTCAAAAAAAGTTCATTTGATCCAAATTGTTGAATTTATTGGCTAAAGTTGTTCATAATAGCTTTTTATTATCATTTTGATTTCTGTAAGACTTGTAGTGGGTATATCTTGTTTCTTTCATTCCTGATATTGGCAATTCATAGTTTTTTTCTTTGGTCTTACCAGTTTTTTAAAGGGGTTTTTCAATCTTTTTTTTAGATTTTTAAAATTTTCCCCTAATTTAGTATGTAATATTTTATTTTTTAAAGATTTTATTTATTTATTTTTAGAGAGAGGGGAAGGGAGGGAGAGAGGGAGAGAAACATCAATGTGTAGTTGTCTCTCATGCGGCCCCTACTGGGGACCTGGTCTGAAACCCAGGCATGTGCTCTGACTGGGAATTGAACCAGCAACTCTTTGGTTCACAGTCTGCACTCAATCCACTAAGCTACACCAGCCAGAGCTTTTTTCTAAGATTTTTTAATAGCAGTTTTATGTAGGTTCATAGCAAAACTGAGAGGAAGGCACAGAAATTTCCCATAAACCTTCTGCCCCCACGGGCACACAGCCTTCCTCACTATCCACATCCCCCACCAGAGCGGTGCGTTTGTTCCAGCTTATGAAACCTGTGCTGACACATCTCTGTCACCCGAAGTTCACACTTCACGTCAGGGTTCAGTCTCGGTGCTGTGCTTTCTCTGGATCTGGGCAGAGGTACGCTCTAACACAGGGTATGTTCCCTGCCCTGAGTATGCTCTCGTTCCACCTGTTCAGCATTCCTTTCCCCTAAGCTCCTGAAAACCACTGATCTTTTGACTGTCTCCATAGTTTTCTTTTCCAGAATGTCATATAGTTGGAATTATACTGTATGTATACATTTACTTTGAATTGGAAATATGCATTTATGTTTCCTCCATGTCTTTTTGTGGCTAGATAACTCATTTTTTGGGGGGGGGGGAATTTTCAATTTTGAAGAAATTTTGGTTTTGTTCATTTTCTCTACTGTGGAGCTTTTTATTTCATTATTTTATCTTTATTATTTGCTTTTGTCCACTTAAGCTTGATTTGCTCATCTTTTTATGGCTTCCTGAGGTTGATAACATAAATGACTGAGTTTAAGCCTTCCCAATATGGGCCTGTAAAGCCAACCATTTCCTTCTAGACACCACTCTAGATGCATCCCAGTTCCTGCTGCGTGGTGTTCCCATCATCGTTTAGTTCAGAATATTCTCTAGTTTCTCTCAGGTTTTATTTTTGACCTATGGGTTACTTTAGAAATATATTTTACATTTTCTAAATGTTTGGCATTTTTCTAGATATATTACTGATTTATATCTCCATTGTGATCAAAATACATACATGTTCTGTATAATTTTAGTTTTTTGAAATATATGTACTTAATGGCCAAGAATATGACCTGTTTAGTGCACATTTCATGTGCATTTGAAAGGAATGTGCAGGATTTGCTTTTGTGTTCGATAAATGCCCTTTAGATCAATGTGGCTGACAGTGTCATTGAGATACTCTGTATCCTTACTGATATTTTGTTTAGTTTCTATCGAATTACTTAGAGAAGGGTGTTTAAATCTCCAACTATGATTAATTAGTTAGTTAGTTAGTTCTGTTGATTTTTTTCTTCATGTATTTTGAAGCTGTTTTATGTGATGTACACACTTCTATAATGATTATGTCATCCTGATAAATTGATCATATCATGATGATGAAATGTCTCTCATTATTTTTAGAAATATTCCTTGTCTTGAAATCTATTTTGTCTGATAATTGTGGCCACTCCAGCTTTCTTAATTAGACTTTTAAAGAAATTAAAAGATAAAAGAAAGATATACTGTCTTTTGTCATTACCACACATATTTATCATTTCAAATAATCATTCTTCCTTCTTCGCTAAACTAGATCCAAGTTTACCATCTGGTGTTATTTCTCTTCATCCTAAAGAACTTCCTTTTGTTTTCCTCTCACATTGATTTTTCTCCCCCCTATCCCTCTCTAAAATCAGTAAACATATTTTTTAAGTAAAAAAAGAACAGTCAAGGTCACTGATTCACATGTGAGCAAACGCCGCTATTCTGCCGTGATGCAATGTCTAGTAGTGGCAGTCGGGACCGGCCGAAAGTCTCTGTCCCTCACAGAAAAACGTTCGCTGTCCCTGCTCTGAACAATACAAGCCGAGCAGTGCAATAAACTCAGACAGTACATGGAAAATTGTGTCTTAAATCAGGGAACTTGTTATCAGGAAAACTCCACATGACGTGGAGTCCTGACCGGGGTGGCACAGTTGGTTGGGCTACATCCTGCAGAGCAAAGGCTCACTGGTTTGATTCCTGGTCCGGGCACTTGCCTGGGTTGCAGTTTGGTCCCCAGGGAGGGCATGGAGGAGAGGCAACTGGTGTTCCTCTTCCTCTCTTTCTCTCTCCCTTCCCCTCTGCTAAAAAAGAAAAAAACTTGTGATATGGAATAACCTGTTTTTTGGAAGATATGTTCTCGCCATAGTGAGCCGAGAATGGACCCACTATCCCCCAGGGTCTTACAGCTCTCCTTGCTTCAGTAAGACTTGGGCTTCGGGGCAAAATGATTTCTGCCTGTGGATAAAGAACTGGTCTCAGCGAAGTCAGCTTTCTCACTTTATTGCTAGTGGATTCTTTTCACAAAGAGTTTAGTCTGCTTATTTCCTCCTAGTGTTACTGGAGTTACCCCCCTCTTGGCTTGAAATGCAAACACAGTGGCGTATGGTATGCAAATGATTGATTTAACTGTTAGGGAAAACTATAAATAAAAGACCTCAATTAAACAATTCACAACAGCATATTCCAAAGATCATTTCTGTCAGGAAGGCAGAGAGTTGGAGACCCAGGTAACAGAGGACTGAAAGAAAGAAAACTCACAATTTCTTCCTCTACACGAGGTGCCAGTCACCACGGGACGCTGGGGACATCTAGTGGTGAGAACTGAGTGAGGCCCACAGGAAACAAAAATGTCACACAGACCACGCATCCATCCGGTGGCTCTCACTGGTACCAAAGGCATTTGGAAAGGGGACTGGAGGAAGTCGTGCAACAGTCCCTGTAAGTAAAGGTGAGGTTACACAAACACATTCAGATTCAAACACACACCCCTTTCTGCTTCCCTTAGGCAAATTATTTTATTCTGTAACTAGTTTTTCTCAACATTAAAAAAAGGCTTTAAAAAAAGTTCTTCACTCATTCTTGCAGGTGGGGACTCCAGCAGGTGGGGTGATGGAGAAACATGTGTGAAGACACCGGCTCTATGTCCTGGGCTCTGTGGTGTGCACTGCGCCAGTCAGCCCTCCCTGTGAGGCAGGGGCCGGGAAACTGCATTCGTGGGGGTGACCTCTCAGAGCTGGGGACAAGATGGGGATGGGGATGGGTGTATCTGACCACAAAGCCACCTCCTCTCTGCAGTGTGTGTATTTACTGCCTCTCAAATGCTTAAGGTAGACAGTGGTTTGTTTTAAAGTGAATCCAGTTTGACTTTCTGCATGTTATAGAATGGTTTGGGCTGTGGCTGGTGTGGCTCAGTGGATCAAGCACTGGCATGTCAAATGATAGGTCGCTGGTTGAAAACCTGGTCAGGGCACGTGCCTGGGTTTCAGGTCGGGCCAGGTCCCCAGTTGGGGGGTGTGCGAGAGGCAACTAATCCATGTGTCTCTTGCATATCAGTATTTCTCTCCTTCACCTTCTCCCTCCTTTTCCCTCTCTCTAAAAATAAATAAAATCTTTTTTTTTAAAAAAGAATGGTTTTGTATCATTTGCCATATCATTCTGATATTAAATGAGTCTTTTGTAGAGAATTGTAAAGCTACCTGTTAGAAAGATACATGCATCTGGCCACAAGGAAATACACTGTTCTGCTTTCTCACGGGCAAAGATCCCTATGGGCAGAAGGCATTTTGACTTACTGCTGAAATTCTTGAGGACTTGTATCCAGCCCAGGAGAAAGTGTTTCTTTACTCTCACTGTATATCATGTTTCCCCCCCTAAGATATTTGTTCTCAGCTGGGGGGGCAATTTTGGCCCCAGGGGACATTGGACAATGTCTGAAGACATTTTTGGTTGTCATGACTTGGAGAGGGGGCCCTTCCAGCATCTAGCGGGTGGGGGCCAGGGGTACTACTCAACACCCCCCTGTGCCCAGAACTCCGGCCCAGGGAACGGGCCAACGCCACAGTGCGGAGAGGGAGAGACCCTGCCCTAGGGGAATGCACTTACCAAGCCCCCGGAACAGAAGGCATGCAGCAGGAGCTTGAGACTTGCTGGGTAAATGAGTAAACAGTTTCATGACCCCTGAAAATAGCCTGATCAGCCTGGAACAGGCACAAGTAGTTGTCCCCAGTCTGCCACTGAGGACGTCCTGCAGGGCTACTCTTTGGTTTGATATTTGAAAGAACAGTCCCTGGCCCCCTCCTCTCTCCCTTTCTTTGTGATAGTTATGTAACCCCCTCCCCATTCCTTACCCAGCCAGGCTGGGTCCCTGCTCCGAACCTGGAAGGCTGTAGGGAATTCCCGCTCGCCTGTCCTGTCGGCCTCTGAAGTTGCCTCTGTGGACTTTGGGACTGCAGCTGTGCCCACTCACCCTCTCTCCGCCTCTCTTCAGAACTGAGCATGCAGAGTTCAGAGGGAGCAGCGGACTCGCCAGCTTCTGTGGCTCTGTGTTCCTCATCGGCCGCCCAGACACCTGTGGCCCAGCCCGTGCCAGCCTCCCCGCAGGTAACGGACCAGCCCAGAAAGACCAGTGCGGCCAGTGCGACCTCATCCAATGTGGTTTGGAAAAGCACCTGAATCAGCAGGGAGTTACTTCTGTTCTCTTGACCTGCCTTCTCAGCCCCAAGGCCGCAGCTGTTGAAATAGCCACAACTTCTCTGTCTCCCCACGTCAGGATATTTGGCTTTTTGTCTATTTGTTCAAAAGGTCCCACCGAGGAATCAATGACAAAAAAAAAAGAAAGTCCTAGACCCCCAAATCTGACTTCACTTGTTCTTTTCTTTTAAGGGAAGTTTTCTTCTACCTTGGAAATGACCCTTTTACACATTCAAAAAGAATGACTTTTTGAGTAAGGCAAAAGATAAGTGAAAATTCTCAGTGTTTGGTTCAAAATTGAATCTAGCATCAGAATGGATACACTTAAAATTTGTGGAGATATAATTTTTACATTAAGCCTCTTCTAAACGAAAACAGTAACTCAGAACAATATCGTCGACCCCTCATTCACTGCAGCTTTACATATAGTAGCCAAGATGTGGAAGCAGCCGTGGTGTCCCTCCACAGACACTGGGCGGGGAAGAGGCAGTGATGCAAGGCAGCCTCACTCCGCCATGAAAAAGAATCAAACCGTGCCTTTTACAAGGACATGGAGGACCCTGGGGGGTTATACTAGATGAGACAAATCAGACAGAGAAAGACAAAGACCGGAGGACCTCACTTATATGTAAAACCACACGTTAAGCTTATAGGTGCAGAAAACAGATTGGTGGTTGCCTGAAGAGTGTGGGGGTGGCTGAAATGGGTCCTGCCATGGCCATTGTGTCCCTCCCAGGTTCTAGGGCTCCTGTCCCTGCTAGAGATGCATCCAAGACCCCCCAACCACAGTCTCAATGGCAACATCTTTGCCCTTTACCTCCCATCCCATCCCCAGATGCACCATCAGCTGCTCCAGCTGAGCCTCCCCGTGCCTATCCAGAGAATGCCCTTTCCTCCAGCTCCCCTGCCCACAGGCTGCATTGTGTTCCCTGAATAATGCCTGCCCTGGGCTTCCTGACCAGTTCCTTGCCAGAAAGAGGAATCCTTGCAGCTCACTTCCCATGGTGCACTGCTCCCTCTCTCAGCCCCTCCTGAGCCACCCAACAGAACTTCCCGGCATGCAGTCGTGTTCTGCCACCAGCTCCATGTGGCTCTGGCACTGGAAATGTGGCCAGTGTACCTGCAGAGCTGAAGTTTACAGTTTATTTAAATCAAGAAGATTTTATTTCTTTTCAGAGAGGGGAAGGGAGGGAGGAAGAGAGAAACATCCATGAGTGAGAGAAACATAGACCATTTGCCTCTCACACGCCTCCTACTGGGGACCTGGCCCACAACCCAGGCATGTGCCCTGACTGGGAATGGAACCAGCGACCTTTCAGTTCACAGGCTGGTGCTCAATCCACTGAGCCACACCAGCCAGGGCTAATGCAAGTGAAGTTTAAATGGTCAGATGGCTACACAACTAGTGGCTACCATATTGCACAGCTCGGTTGTAGAATGTATGCATGTAAATCCTTAATGTTCTTATTTAATTAATTGCAGCAAAATTCACATAATATAAAATTCACCATTTTAAAGTGCACAAATTATGACATTTTTCATATAGTCATCACCCCAAAACAGAAACCCCATCCTCTTTAGCTGTCACTCCCCGTGCCCCTCCGCAGCCCCTGACAACCATGAACTACTTCCTGTGTCTGAGGATGTGTCACATAAGTGGGATCACACACCATGTGGTCTTCTCAGTCTGGCTCCTCTCACTGAGCACCACGTGTTCAAGGCCCGTCCACATGTAGCGCATCAGAGCTGCACTCCTTTTAGTGGCTGAGTGATATTCCGTTGTGTAGAGGAACAGCATTGTGTGTATCCATTTGTCCATTAATTTTTACACCATTTATGTTCTTTTTGTCTTCGATTGTGAGCTCATGGAGTGCCAGGTCCCTGCTGAGTTCTTTTTGCACAGTGGCGTTTAGGAGACAAAAGACTGCGGAATCACCACAACCAGTGGCATTTAGAGTCTACATTGGAAACTCACAAAATCAAAGTCATTGACTTCTAAAGCCCCAGCTTTATGCAGACAAAACACTCCTGTTTCCCTCTTGACTTTGGGATCCATTTGATCCTGTTCATTTCACAGTTTTGAGTGCCCAGTAAAGCAACAGGAGGCCGAGCGGCAGTAGCTCTGGTTGTAATCTGCTTTCGGGCCTAACCTCTGACGAGTCTGAATGTCCTTCTCTCCTTCCCTTTTAGAGGGTGCTGGTCCAGGCAGCAGGCTCGGCTTCCAAAGGGTCCCAGATGCAGCCAATCTCCCTCCCCAGAGTCCAGCAGGTGCCACAGCAGGTAACCACAGCACAGGCGACATGGGACGTGTTGGCACTTAGGGATCTTGGCGCCTTCTCTGGTTTTCTGTCCTTGCTATTCCTTCTTCTTTGATGTTTTCAGTTCCTTACCAGAAAGCTTTTTGGAAGAAATGTTTTTTTAAAAAATCTTTTCACTCCAAACAGTTTGGCAGCAAGCCAAGACAGCTGGTGATATTTTATTCATTCAGAAATTCCGTGTGTGGGGTGCAAGCCAGCCCCTCGATAGGGCGCCGGGTGCCAAGGTGGATGTGCAAACAGATAGCAAAGGTGTTCTGGATCGGAGCATGGAAACTCCAGGGGAGGCAGACCCTCCTGCGGGCGAGTGCCACACCTGCAGATGAGTGCCATGGCTGAGGAAGAGCCTCTTGTGGAGTTAAATTATCTGGGAAGAAAGCTTGAGAGCATGGGTTCGCCCACCTAAGAGCAGTAGGCCATCAGCTCAGTCAGTCAAGGAGGTGTAGGACAGTGGTCAGCAAACCTTTCCGTTTGGAAAAAGTCAAATACTGCATTTTTTTTTTTTCAGCATTGAAGGCAAGAGTCTCTGGCACAACCACTCAATGCTGCCTGGTCTCCAGAAGTAGGCACAGGTGTAAGAGAAAGGGCGTGGCTGTGTGCCAGTAAAACTACCCACAAAAACAGGCTTGCCGGATCTGGCCCAAGGGCTGGGGTTTGCCAGCCTATGCCCCGAGAGATGCTGATTTAAAATTAGTGTGTGCTCCTGCCTAAAAGGGACCGTGAGTGAAATACAGAGACTGCCCAGAGAACACACCACTTTCTTCAGGGGCTCCTGCTCCAATGAGTAGTGTGTAGGGGGGGGTTGTTCTGAGAAAAGGGGAGTTTTGTGGGGTCGGAGGGGGAGGAAAGTTTCTGAGCAGGCCCAGAAGGGAACCTGAGCCCCTTGAGGGAGGGGAGACCAAGACCAATGTCATGATTCCTTCCCCGCCTCCATGGGGCTGGACCTGTGCCATGTCTTTCTTTATGGGCATCTCGGACTTGTGGGATGACTTGTGCATCTCACTTAGTCTCCTCAGGCAAAACCCACTCAGCATGGTCACCCTGGGGTTTGTGTGAGTGCACACTGTGTTGGGTTGTCAGCAGAGGTGGCAGTAAGCTCCACACACAGTTCTAGGGAGAGGTCACAACAGGACCCAGCCCTCGGTTTGGGTACCCCAAAATGAGATTGAATTAGGTGCTGGTTAAGGCTCCCTCTGAGGTGAGATTCTGAAGTCCTCCATGCAGAGCTCTGGGCCTCTGCCACCAGGGCCAGTGTCCCTCAGGGGCCTCAGCTGAGGTGTTGAACTGATAGAAACCAGGCAGGCCTCTGCTGGGCTCCTCCCATCACCCCCTCTCTCCATCTCCCACTCCAGGCCCACCGTTTCTTCCAGTTCTGCTCAGACCCTCACAGTTTTTCCCCAGTGTGACTCCCAGGACCCATGCCTTGCTGCTGGGGAGGGGCACCAGGGCCACCTGAAGGGTGCATGGGGGTGGCAGTGCGTGGAGTGTGACCAGCTTTAGCCCTCTGCCCTACCCCTTTGGGTGGGGATGACAGGTCCAATGCTCAGAGGTCGGCGTTCTGTCCACAACTCTGGTTTCCACTGTCCGGCATGATTGGCCCTTATGGCCAGTGGCTGGCAGCCCCAGGGCCATTCCCAGCTCTGCAGCCCACTCCCAGCTGTCAACTGGGCTCTTCTCCCCATGGAGCAGGCTTGGCTTCCCTCATGCACAGCAGTGGATCAGTGACGGCTACATCCCAGTGTGCCTTTCCAGGACTGCCTCCTAGTTTCTTTCTAGAAGCTCCAACTGTGGGCAGGAAAACTAGAATACAGTACTCAACGCCCATTAGGGGCAGTCGCAGTTATTTTCCGCTTGAGTAACAGAAAATCACAAACAAGTAGACTCTCTGTGTGTAACCCAAGACATCTGATGTTTCAGGTCCAGCCCGTGCAGCACGTGTACCCACCCCAAGTGCAATATGTGGATGGCGCGGACACTGTCTACACGAACGGAGCCCTGTACGTGGTTTTTCCTCCCCTCGGAAGGGTCCCCGCAGAGGACCTTAGGCCGAGTCTGGGGCCTTCCTCCACCACTCCCCCACCTTTGCCTTTTCAGGATGTGTTTGCACAAATTCCTCTCCCTTGTCCCCTGGGGGATAGGCGGGAGTCATTACTATGGTGCTTGGTCCTGTCAGCCCTGTGGAGCTTAGAGAAACCACACACCTGTGTGGTTTTTACTTCTAGAAAAGGCAGTCTTAAAAGCAAACAAACAGAAAATAAACCCTAATCCAGCTTCTGAGACTTCACGAAGATTCGGTCTTCACATTCCAGAAACCATTTCTCTCTCTGCTTCCTCCCCCTGGCCTCGGGAACCCTCTGTTCCCTACAATGTTGATATGACTTGTTTTTTTTGTCAGGACTTGAAGGGTTTTCTACTTGAGGACAACGTGATGCTTGGGGCAGAAAATGGCACATTTCTCGGAAAGCTCATTGTGCTCGAGACACAAGTCCTTTTGCTCATTGTATTTGAACAGCTCCCCTTTGCAAGTTCAGGGGTCAAGAGTGAGGGCATGGTTCAAGAGCTATGTGAGCTTCTGCAGCACAACATTGGTGGTTCTTATGCACAGACACATATGAGCACGTGTAAGACCCGTGACATTTGACCGAGGCGTGTGGGTTGACCACTGTCAACTTCCTGGGTTTGACTGCACTAGTCATATGTGACGTCACCTGGGGGGCAGGACAGGAGTGTGCGCCTCCCAGACGTCAGGGCCACCCTGCCACCCAGAGGGCCTTCACTCAGGACAGGTCACTAACCTTTAGTCACCACAGAGGGAAAACCATTACCAACTGCCTTGTACTATGGTGAGCATTATTGGAGTGGAACTTAAGGAAAATTTTTTAAGATATTTATTTAAAGACTTTATTTATTTTTAGAGAGAGGGGAAGGGAGGGAGAAAGAGAAAGAAACATCGATGTGAGAGAGAAACTTAATCTATCTCTTGCCTCTCATGTGTGCCCCGACTGTGGACCGAACCCATAACCCAGGCGTGTGCCCTGACTAGGAATGAAACCAGCGACCTTTTGCTTTGTGGGATGACACCCAACCCACTGAGCCACACTGGTCAGAGCTGGAACTTAAAATTTTAAGGGCTGACATACGTAGTTAATTAAACATTTGATCCAGATGTTGAAGGAATATTAGACAAATTCTTTATATCACTTAGAAATTGTTTTTATTATGCAATTTTCTTTTATAACCCTTTTTGATAGAACTGTAGACTTACAGGAAGCTCTAAGATTTGCCCAGCACCCTTCAGCCAGTCTTCTCTGGCAGCAACATCTTCTCTGAGTGTAGGACAGTATCAGGGCAGTGACCTTGGAGCGCCCGTTAGCTCGCGCAGGAACCCTGCTCAGTATCACCGGTCTCTGCGCATCTGTGTGCATGTGCGCACGTGTGCGCGCTGCTCTGCGGCTTTTTCTCGTGCATAGATTTCACGTAAGCACAGTAAGATCCAGACTCATTCCGTCCCCACAGAGGCGCTCTCGTTTTCTGGGAGCCAGCCTGCAGTTCTAAATATTCTCAGAGATGGTTGCTTTGGACTTGGTGCTGCGTGGGCATTTGGAGTCTGACTTAACCGTAAGCTCAGTCTTGTCAGGCTCCCGCCTTGACATGAAGTTTTGGTGGATTCCTTGAGACTCAAAGGAGGAACCTTCTCTCTTTCTGCCAGGCGGACGGCCTATGCCTACAACCCGGAGCCTTCGATGTACGTCTCGAGCAGCGCGGCATCTTACTTCGAGGCCCCGGGCGACGCCCAGGTGACCGTGGCAGGCTCCTCCCCGCCGACAGTCCCCTCCCACAGCATGGTGGGCATCGCCATGGATGTTGGCGGAAGCCCCATCGTCTCCAGCGCGGGAGCCTATCTCATCCATGGGGGGATGGACAGCACCAGACACGCCCTGGCCCACACTTCGCGGTCGTCACCAGCGACGGTACGTACGAGGCTCTCGGGGCAGCAGGTCAGAGTCTGAATAAACGAGCAGCAGAAGCAGGGGTGGTGAGTGGAGGGCCGCCTGGAGCCCTTGAGTGGAGCCCCGCCAGCCACAACCAGGCCCTGGGACCCGAGGCAAGTCTCAGCCTCTTTGAACCTCAGTTCCTCCACTGGTTAAAAAAAGGGGGTGAATCTTCCATCATCGGCTATTGTGAACATAGTACGTGAGTGAAAAAACAAAACAAAATCCCCTCCATACTGGTAGGTTCCGCTGCTGCTGCTGCTGCTACCAGCTCCCCGAGGCTGAGGTCAGTCCACCTGAAGGTCAGTCCCGCATGAAGCGGGACTGAACGAAACCGGAGGCCGTTTCTCCTAGGAGCCTTGCCGGGTTGTTTCCGCCGCGCTCCTGTCCGAAACAACGCCTGTTTTAGAGGCTCACCTTCCAAAGCGTTAGTGTCCGTGTTTCCTTTTACTTTTTAAATGAATGCGGAGTACAATCGACTCGGCGGGGCGTACAGCCCTGAGTTTCGACACGTGCAGACTCGCGTGATGGCTGCCGCGGTCAGGACCCAGGTGGCGGTCTCTCCCCACGCGCCCCCCTGGGGTTTCTCCGCAGTCGTGGCCTCCCCTCGCCCACAGGCCCTGGCACCGCTGACCCTGTCTCCATCGCTGTAGGTTGGTTTTTCCGGGACTGTCGTACGAATGAACCCGTTGAGGTCGGTCTCTTTCGCTCGGCGTGGTGCCTCAGAGACCCAGTCAAGGGGCCGCGCGAGCCGGTGCTCCCCTCTCCTCCGCGGCCGAGCGGCGCTCCCGCTCCCCCGCTCACCGGTTGAGGGCGACTGGGGAGGTTTCCAGTTTGGGGCGATATGAGTAAAGCAGCAATCAGCTGTATGGACATACGTTTTCTTTCTCTTGAGTAAATACCTACGAGTGGATTGCTGGCTGATATGGTAAGTGTGTGTTTAACTTCATTCGAGTTCACCAACAGTTCCCTCGAGTGGCCGCCCCATTTCACGTCGCCAGCGGTGTGTCGGTGTCCCTGTCGCCCTGCCCTCTCCAGCACTCCCTGTTGTCGGCGTTTCTCAGTGTGAGCCGTGTTAGTAGGTGTGTGGTGGCATCTCGTTGTGATTGTAATTTGCGTTTTCTTAATTGCTAATGGTGGTAAGCAGCTTTTCACGTGCGTGTTTGCCTTTTGTACATTCTCTTTGGTGTCAGTTCCAGTCATTGGCCTGTTTTCAAACTGGGTTGTTTGTTCTCTTTCTGTTGAATTTTGAAAATTCTTTATATGTTCTTTATAGAACAAATCATCTGTCAGATATGCAACTTGCAAATATTTTCTCCCAGTTTCTATAGTGTCTTTTCATTCTCTTAAGAGTGTCATGTGCAGAAGAAAAAAAATTATTTTGTCAGATCTAATGTATCGATGTTTCTTATTTGAAAAGACCCATGTTTTTGATGTCATGCTGCGAACTCTTCCCCTATTCCCAGGGCATAAAAATTTTCTCCTATGCTTTCTTTGAGAAGTTTTATAGTTTTACATTTGGATCTGCTCCGTTTTGATTTAACTTTTGTGTAAGATGTAAGATTTAGGTGGAGACTTATTGTTATGCATATGAAACCACCGGTGGTCCTGGCACCATTTGTTGAGAAGATTGTCCTTCTTTCACTGGATCGCTAGTGCACCTTGGTCAGAGATCCATGGGCCCTGAGTGGGTGTGTTTCATTGGCCTGTGCGCCTGTTTCTTCTTCAGGACCGCTGTCCTAATTACTATAGCTTTATAGTGGTGGTTCCTTCAACTTTATTCTTGTTTAGTATAGTGTAAGCTATTTATATAAATTTAGAAGTTTCTGTATCTCTAAAATATCCTAGTAAGATTTTGATTAAACAGCACTAAGCCTGTAGGTCCATTTGGGGGAGGATCCACTTGGGTCTTCTAGCCCGCTAACATGGATGGCATGCTTCCCCATTCTCTTCCGAGTTCTCTCATCGGCATTTCGTAATTTTTAACATGCAGATCCTGTACCTATTCTGTTAGATTTATACTTAAGTGTGTCACCTTTTGGGAGTTATTGTAAGTTATATTAGTTTTTAATTTCGGTTTCTAACTGTTCATTGTTAGTATGTGAAAGTACAGCTGTTTTTAGCTGTCGCCCTTGCATCCTGCAACCTTGTAGAACTCACTTTTTAGTTCTAAGAGTTTTTTTGTTGTCCACAAATAGGAACAATTTTGCTTCTTCCTTTCCAGTCTGGGTAACTTTGATTTCTTTTTCTTGCCTTTCTGCACTGGCTAGAACTCCTGTACTGTGTTGAATAGGAGCGGTGAGTGTGGACATCCTGGCCTTATTCCCAGTCTAGGGGAAAAATCTGTCTTTTACTGCTAAATGTGATATCAGCTATAGGTCCTCATAAATGCCCTCTTTCCGGTTGAGGAAGTTCCCTTCGATTCTTAGTTTTCAGAGGGTCTTTAGCAAAAGTGGGTGTTGAGTTTTGTCAAATCTTTTTCTTCATGGATCAGAAAGCATTCCTCACATACTACACTAACTTTCATGGACAAGAAGGCTCAGTTTTATCAAACTGCATCAATTTATAATAATAGAAAACACTAGAATTGCAGGCAACAAATTCACTGAGAAGGCTGCGCGGGCCTGGGCTGGGGTCGGGGCTCGGCTGCACACCTCCCTCCTTGGCGCTTCCCTGCTGCTGGACACGTGGGCCTGTGCAGGCAGCACTTTGATGAGGCTTTTAAAATAACAAACGCCAGTCAAGCATAAAATTAGTTTTCATTTTAAGCATAATTTAAAGATTAAACCCTAGCTTATCCAGCTACCAAGAGGACTAATAAAGGCACTTGTACTTACACAAGAAGAATCCCTCCCTCAAGTCACGTTGATTGTTCTAGGGTGCTGCAGTGGTCTCCCGACGCCGGGCAAGGAGGTGGCGCGGCAGCGCCCTCTGCTGGACACAAGTGCGCGCTACGCCCTCATTCCTGGCTCCTGGGAATCCACCTCCCTGCCTGGCCTCTGGCCTCTGGGGCTTGATGGTGTTTCCTGACCTTCATCGCCTTCATGTGTTTAAGGGATGCTTTTATTTTCAAACATAGTGAACACCTTGGGATGTTCCACTGTACATTAATTTTCTGTATCAGTGGACTTGTTTAAATCCTCGTTGATAGCTATGGGTTTTTGAAGATGGTCTTACATAGCAAATCTTAATTTGTATTCTTTTCCTCTTTACTCATGACACTATGGTTTTTAGCAGTCAGTCTTAAATATGTCCAGCACACCTGTGGGTGTCCCCAGGACTCCTTAAGGGGCTCCACGAGGTCAAAACTTTTCGTAACAACGCTAAGCCATCCGTTGCCGTTTTCCCTGTGTCGTCACTTGCACCGATTATGCAAAATCAACACCCTTGAAACACGTGGTCACCAATCAAGGCAGAGGCATCAGACTCTCCTGGAGGTTACTGTATCCTCCACCATCGTGCCTTCAGTTAAAAAGAAAAGGAAATAAAACACCAAAGAGCAGTTTTACTTAGGAATGTCTTTAATGAAGTAGTAAAAAATATTAATTAGTTATTAAATCTCAATCCTTGAGTACACGTCTTTTTAATGTTCCGTGCAACAAACAGCCCTGCTGCTGCCTGCCAGGGTGCAGTGACCGTCCTGAGGAAAAGCTCCTGTGCGGCAAGTGTGAGCAGAACTAGCCACTTTGTTCATGAAACGTCATTTTTGCTTGAAAGAATCAACAACAAATTGTGATTATTCAGACTCAGAGATGTGGCAGATATTTTCTCAGAAAGTAGTGGTGTGAGCCTGGTGGACTCATGAAAACAACTGACAGAGTTTGTTTCTAGTACATTTTCAACCTTTCTTGGCTGAAAGGAGAGGCTTTGGAAAAACTGGTATCCTTCCAATGAGATTGGTAGTAATGCTATAGAGTGTGGTTTGTTGGTATTGTGTAAGGAAGTGTGTCAGCATTGGGAAAATCTGCAAAGTCGGTTTACCAATATTTTCCTAGTGAACAGTGTATGATATTAAAGCCATGCATGCGAGTAAAAGAGTCACTCACATTTCAAGAATGACAAATGGATTCTTAAATTAATTATATATTTTTATTGAGTTGACATTTGCATAACATAAAACTCACCATTTCCATGACATGTACCGCTTAAATGTGTAAAATTGCATGACGTTTAGTACAATCGCCATGGTATGTAACCATCACCCTCTCTAGTTCTAGAATGTTTCCATCTCCCTGAAAGCAAACCCTGTAACCAGTTAGCGTTACTCCCCAGCCCTGGCACCCAGTCTGTCCTCTGCGTCTGCAGATGTGCCGGTTCTGGACGTTTCAGATAAATGGACTCACACACCATGTGGCCTTTCTGTCTGGCTTCTCTCATCGACGGCTGCGTTCAAGGTCCATCCACGGCGTAGCGCGTGTCAGTGCCTCACCCCTCCTCACTGAGTGACATCCCAGGGTGTAGAAGGGCCACACCATGTTTATCCTTTCATCTGCGATTGGCATTTAGGTTCTTCCACTTTTTTGGTGTTATGAATAGCGCTGCTATGAACATTTGTGTACAACTTTTTGTGTGAGCGTCAGTTTTAAGTTCAATTACATAGCTAATAGTGGAATTGCTGGGTCACGTGGTTTGACTGGGTCCATGTTTAACTTTTTGAGGAGCTGCCACACTGCTTGTCACAACAGCTGCATCATTTGGCAGTCCAAGATGTTGAACATCCTTCCATGTGCTAACTCGAGACATCTGTTCAACACCTCTGCCATTTTTAATTGGGTTATCTGTCATTTTGTTGTTGAGTTGTGAGAATTCTTTATATATTCTACATACAAGACCCTTATCAGATGTATGATTAACTAATATGTTCTCTCATTCTGTGGGTTGTCTTTTCACCCTCTTAGTAGTACTCTTTGATGCACAAAAGGTTTTAATTTTGTTGAAGTCAAATTTATCTTTACATTTTTTAAAAAATCTTTTGTTGTCTGTGCTTTTGATGCTATATCTAAGAGTCCATTGCCAAATCCAAGGTCAAGAAGATAACCTTGGCCCTGGCTGGTATGGCTCAGGGGATTGAGCACTAGCCTGTGAACCAAAAGGTCACTGGTTTGATTCCCAGTCAAGGCACATGCCTGTGCTGTGGGCCAGGTCACCAGTTAGAGGTGTGTGAGAAGCAACTTATTGATGTTTCTCTCCCTCTCTTCCCCTCTTCCTAAAAAGAACTTATTTTTTAAAAAATCTTTTAAATAAATAAATACATAAGATGTTTTTTTTTAAGATAACCTTATTTTACATGATTACCTGATTTTTTCTTCTAGGAATTTTGTGGTTTTACCTTTTTCATTTAATTCTTTGATCCATTTTGAACTGACTTTGTATATGGTATAAGTAAGGTTCCAGCCTCATTCTTTTGCAAGTGGCTGTGCAATTATCCCAGCACCATTTGTTGTAAAGTTTATTCTTTCTCCATTGAATAGTCTTGACACCCTTGTCAAAAATCAATTGACCATAGAACTGACTGGTGTGGCTCAGTGGGTTGGGCGTCGTCCCACAAACCAAAAGGTCACTGGTTCGATCCTGACCAGGGCACATGCCTGGGTTGCAGGGCCAGGTCCCTGGATGAGGGTGAGCAAGAGACAACTGATCAGTGTTTCTCTCCCTCTCTTTCTCTCTCCCTTCCCCACTCTCAAAAAATAAATAAATAAAATATTTTTTAAAAATCAATTGACCATAGATGTATGGGATTATTTCTAGATTCTCAATTCTATCCCATTGATCTGCAGTACTTTGCATAGTACTGCACCGTGTCGGTTACTGGAACTTCGTGTTATTTGGAAATCAGGAAGTATGAGTCTTCCAACTTCGTTCTTAGTTTTCAAGGTTGTATTGGCTATTTGGGGTCCCTTACAATGCCGTATAAGCTTTAGGATCAATTTTCTCTTTCTGAAAAGCTGTTGGAAGTTTAATAAAGAACTTCGGTAGGGATTTCATTGATTCTCAGGATGAATTTTGAGAGTATTGCCGTGTTAACAGTATTAAGTCTTTCAATCCCTGGACGCAGGATATCTCTTAGGGGTGGGGCAGGTTGGGGGAGCGGTTTGGTCATCTTTAGTTTCTTTCAACAGTGTTTTATAGTTTTCATTGTACAAGTATTTCACCTCTTTGGTTAAATTTATTCCTAAATATTTATTCTCTTTCATGCTATTGTAAATGAAATAGTTTTCTTAATTTCCTTGTCACATTGTTCATTGCTTAGAAATGTAACTGATTTTTATATGTTGACCTCGTATTCTACAACCGTTGTGAATTCACTTGTGAGTGCCAGTTCTTTTTTGTGGATCCTTTAAGATTTTTTATCTTTAAGATTGTGGTTTTTGCAAATTGAGATAGTTTCATTTCTTCCTTTCTTATTTGGGTGCCTTTTATCTGTTATCGTTGTATGATTGCCCTGGCCAGGACCTCCCACACAATGTGGAGCAGAAGTGGCGGGAGTGGACGCAAACAACAGTGGCCAAGTGTGGTGGGGCAGGCAGTAACCGCCTCAGTCCCAAACCAGTCCAGCTGCACTTTCTGGACTGCATGTTCAACCTGCTTTTTGTGGAACTGTTACTAAAATCTTTGCTTTTCCTGGTATTTGAGGACAGACAGAGTATATTTTAGGTTCATTTCCTTACGTTGCAGTTCTCTGCCTATGTGGTGGGCCACAGCAGAGTTTACATTTTCATTTTCCATATATAAGTCAAGGTCAAATTCAGCATGTACAAATGCAGTAGTCACACACAGTTGAGTGTTTCAGCCTTTGCTTAGACCTGTGGTACCACCTCGGCTCCTCGCCTCCAAGAGGTCCTTAGAACCCAACTGAGAAGCCCCTTCCCCCAAGAATGCCTCCCTGATAGCTCCACGTGACTTTCCCCTGTGTATAACCATTCTCATTGCCGTATAGCCCTCTTTGCACAGCTCATGCTTCATAAACATTCAGGAGCTTATCTCTGTGACGTGTCCAGTGACCCAGGGTCCTATGCCACTGATGGCAGGACCTGGGTCTTTGGCCTTGTTGGTATTTCCCCAAATCATCCAGGAGAGAGATCCTGGGTTTGTGACAAGACAGGCTGGCCAAGACATCAGTGCCACCAACTGCCCTTGGGCTCTGTTGGTCACCTGATTCTCCCCAGCAACAGATGACATGTGTGGGGAGCAGCTGGCAGTTATTCTGCTGGCTCTGCTTCCACTTGAACTTACGCAACAACTAGGAGTTCACGTTGTGCATGCGCTGTGTTCTACCTCGTAGCCGATGTCCACTTCATAACCTCACCCGCTGCTCGTGCTCCAGGGCTCCTGGGCCCTCTGCATGTAACAGAGTAACACCCCGGCTGTAGCTTCCGCTCCCGACTTAACCCATCTCTCCTGCCTGCCTCAAGCCTTGTTTCTTTATTTTGTAGGAGCTTGAATCATTATTTGGATATTAATAAAAACCAATCTTGGCTGATGCTAACCATCTGATTTCCCTTTTTTTTCCCATTTTGTTTTGTTTTGTTTCTGCACACATTTTCTTTAGCTTGAAATGGCGATTGAAAACCTCCAAAAAAGCGAAGGGATCACATCACACAAAAGCGGTTTACTCAACAGCCATGTAAGTGTGTGTCCCTGGCGGTCTGCCCCACTGTGCGCGGACCTGCGTGGGCATTTCCAAAACAAGCGCAGTCTCTGAAGTGACACCTTTTTTGTGTTGAAGGGGGGAGAAAAGCCAGCCTAGAGTTCCACATGCATCCAAAGTATCCCTCTGCAGTGCAGGCGGGGCGGAGGCAGGTTCTTCACTTCTACAGGTAGCTGGTCGGCGCACCTATCTCTTCGGGGGCGTGCTGTGGGGATTAGCTTATTTAGTGCACGTGACACGCCGCTAGCAGTGCCTGGCACATCACAAGCATTACAAAAAACAGTTTACACTAAAATGAGCAACAATAACCAAGGATGACACAGGACTGCAGATGCCATACAGTTTCTTAGCTACGTTTCCTGTGATCAGCTCTTTGAAAGCAAAAAAAAAAGGTAATTTGAGAAAAATGCAAAGCAACTCATTCCTACTGGTTGGTGCTTTGTACGATCTTCTTCTCTTGCGTCCCGGGGAAAATCATGATCCCGGGTCCTGTGCCCCGAGGGGGCAGACGTCTTTGTCCCTGGGAAGCTTCATGGGGCATGATGGCACTGGAAGAGGTGACCAGCTAAGAGTCTCTGTTTCCTGGGACAGTTAAGAAGGAAAACTCTGGTCTCCTCACACTTGTCCCCGTCCCTCCCACTCTTCCAAATGCGCTCAATCAACTTTACAGGTAACCAGAAACTTGAAAGTAGAGGGGTGGGGGTGGGCCACTGAACTCAGAACATGCTTCTCAAGCACCAGGTTGGGATGTGACCTCTAATCTCTTTAATTCTCCTGAAAATTAAAACATCAAAGAGAAAGGTGGCCACCACCCTAACTGTAGCCCTGTGAAGACTTCCGCATGTCACGCTCAGAGGGAGGTGCTCCCCAAAGGCTGTGGTGCTGGGCGGAGCCCAGCGAGACACCCCGAACTTCCGGGCACCTGGGTCTGCCCAGCGTGGCAGCCACACCAGGCAAGCGTGGCGAGGGTCTGCACTCCTCGGCCTCAGAGGCTGGTCACTAGGAGGAAGAGCAGCCTCACACCTGATGTCTCAAAGGAAAAACACAAAAGACCACAGGCCTCTCCCAAGTGCCCTGCCCCGCCCCCCCCCCCCCCCGTGGATTTTGGCCACTCTGTTGTCTTTCTCTGCTAGACAATGTCACCCTGTGGGCACAACTGGGGAGGGACAATCTTCAGTGAGTGCTTGGTGGGAAGGACACCTCCCACCCACCAACCCTGTCTAAAAAAGCTCAGAGTGCACCGTGTGGAAAAGTCTGCAGAAAGACAGTCTGTCCAATGAGGACAGTCTCTGTTCAGTGGGGACAGGCACTCCCTGAGCTGTTGCCGAGCAGGCACCCATGGCCACATCCCAGCCTTTGAGGTGCTCTGTCAGGTGGGATGGGGGCGCAACCCCCAGGCAGGCAGCTTTCGAGTCCAGTCGGTGGGGAATTGAAAATGCCTCTGGGGGATCGCATGAGCTGCTGCTCCGGCTGCAGGGCTGCTCCTGGCTTGCTAACCTTGGTCTTTTGCGAGGCAGACTTCCTGCGTGCTTCCAGCTGGTTTACACTCTGGAGCTGACTCTCCCAGCAGGAAAATTCCCGCGTCCATTTTCTGCCTGGCGATCTGTGGTTGAGTCTCCTTCCATCAGGAGCTGTGAGGAGCAAGAGCCAGGGCTTGGTGATTTGGGTTCAAAGGGAATAGACAGAAGATCTTTCCAAAGAGTTGAACATACACCCTGGGTGGAATCTCCCTGGCACTGTCCTTGCAGATGCGAGAACGAGAGGAAGGGGAGAGGGGAGTATGACCTACCTTGCAGATGAGCAGCGTGTCCTGCTGACACCTATCTTGGTCTCAGCTGGCTGAGCCTGTCCTCTGGCCAGCTCTCCACACTCGCTCATGACAGTTGTCACCACAGCGGCCTACAGCTGGGATTGCTTGAGGTCTGGGCGATGCAGGCCATGTTCCCAATCCTTTGCCAGCCCAATTCGGGAGCAGATGAGCCTGGCTGGGGGGCGGGCCCAGTCACAGTGCCCTCCTCCCCCCACTCTGGGCATGGGGACTGTGGGAATGGGCACTCACTGCAGGGAGCCTCGATGGTGCGGCAGGGGCTCGGCAGGTGTGAGAAAGGCAGGTGTGAGAAAACCGGCGCAGGCACACCAAGTCTGCCCTGGCAGCCAGCGCAGGGGCTTGCCTCTGGAACCGCTCCTGTCTTCTGCGGAGCTTGGTTCCCTCCCTGCGTGCTGTCTTGGATGGGCGCAGGTGGCGATGCCTAGAGCCTGGGAAGGCTGGACAGCACCTTTGAGACCCAGTTGATGTCAGGGCTTCACATGCTGCCCGTGGGGGCTCAGTCCCAGGGGTCTGCAAGGAAGGACCTTGCTGCCTGACGGGGACACCCTGCAGCCTCAAGTGAGCTCACTGTGAACTGGGGCGGGGGGGGGGAGGGGGCTGTGATTTGGTGGCATGAAAATAAGGGATAGCTGTTTCAGAGGAAGGAGGTGACAGATGGTGCTGGGGATGAAAACACCTCCAGCCACGGGGGTGGCAGGCACTATGACCTCCCTACTGCCGTGCCCAGCCTGGGGAGCCTCGGTCACAGTCCCCAAGGTGCCCGGCCCCTCCCAGAGCCTCTGCCCCACCGTCCCCCAGATCCTGGCCCAGGAAGCACCCCCACCTGATGCCTGCTGACTCAGGGACCCCACAGCACATTCACCAGGTCACTGTCACAGGGAGTTGGCCACTGTCTACTAAAATGAACTCTTATTTCCAAACCCTGATTTTAAATTAATTATATTCAAACTATATGACTTTTTAATCAAGAAACACAAATTGTCAAAGATCCGTTAGCCTTTAGCTGGTGGCCGGCTGCAGGCTGGTGCACTGACCAAGTGGTTGCCTGCGGACTACGCTGGGGATCGGCTGGAGCAGCAGCTTCCTGGGATGGGTCCCTTCTCCAGAAGTTGCTCGAGTCTTTGTGGCAAATGCCTGGCAGTAGTCTTGGCGGGACCACTGTTCGTTCAGTATTCCCGACCCACCCTCACCGCCCTGCCAGCCCCATGCTAACCACTGACCAAACGGACTGTTTTCCTCCAGGCGCCTGCCCGGGGCCCACCCCCAGCTCCACACAGGCTTCCTCCTGTTCCTGCTGCTGCAGGTGCGGCTGCCTCGGGGCCTTGGAACCAGTGGGCCCTGGGCCTGAAACACTTCCCCGGCGGCCCCTGCCTCCGCTTCTTCCCGTCTTTACTCATTTGCCACTCAAATCGGTTTTCCTTCCTGCTGACTTGTCAGTGCCAAAGAGAGAGGAAGTGTGACCAGCTCTTCTTCTGGAGGCGGCTGGGGTGTCAGTTCTCTCTGTAGTCACGTCTCCTGGGGAGATAACCAGGCGTCCTTAGTTTAGGGAGGCCCTTGCCATCAGCTCAACAGAACCACCCAAACAGGGAAGTCTCCTTTTAGTTTAAATAACTTGGGGATGCGGGGAGGCATCCTGTTTCCCAGGTCTTTCTCCTCACACCCGAGCCAGTCACACTGAGCGGTGGACCAGGTGCTGGCCTTCATCTCATAGGACCCCGAGAGCAGGGCCCCTTCCCACCGCAAACGCACGGTCTGCCTCAGCCCCGAGCTGGGACCAGAGTCACTGCGTGGCCCCTGTCCCACCCGCCAGCCAGCTCAGTCAGCTCTGAAGTGTTGGGCTCCTGGACCCCTCAGCCTTCAGAGCAGAGAGGAAAAGCCCCCACCTTCTGCGCCCACATGCTGGGGTCCCATTTGCTCCTTGGGACCTTGTCTCCTCTGGTTGGTATTTCTTGAGGCATCTTTAAGATCCTGGGGTGCAAACATGGACAGAGAGATGAGGAGCAAGGGAGGACCACGGATATGGCCCCTAAGGCTCCTAAGGCTCCGAGCCCTGGGCCAGGGCAGAGTTCTGGGGGCGAAGGGAGGCGCTGTGCCACCCACGTCAGAGAATGCACATTCAAGGGAAGGTTGAAAATGCAAGGCCCGAATGGCTGGTGGAAAGTAAACCATTTGTTCTCCTCCCAAAGGGACACCTGGAGAAGATGAGTCTCACTGCAGGGCCCTGTCTTATTTCTATGACCTTGAGCCCACCTCATGCCTCAGAGGCTTTGCCAAGGGCCCTCTGCTCTTGACAGCTGCCACCCTCCCGCACTGTCGCTTTGCACCCTCCTTCCTGTCTGCCTGTTGTCACAGCCTCTCCTTCACCCTGTTGGTGAGAGCAGTCCCGCCCTAACCCCTAGGGTTGCAGGAACAGCCAAACGCACGACACCTGACCTGGACAGAGTGGACAGCCACTTACCAGTCACATGGACGCGCAACCCAGGGGAGGAGCACACCTCAGGGCCACGCACAGACGCACTCGGGAACACGGGACAAAGAACTGAGGGAGGCTTTAGTGACCCGAGGGTGGGGTGGCCCTGGTTTAAACCTGACCCCCAGGATAAGCCAGAGCTGTGCCCAGCCCCCTAGTGAGGAGGGCTTCGTGGCTGAGACCTCACTGCAATGTATGGGGAGGGGACCTCTCCTGCTTCCCCCCATATCAGGCCTGACAGCACTCTTCCTCCCCAGCCCTCCTGGGTGTCCCTTACCCCCGGAGACCCTGTGGTGTCTCCTGGATGCCAGGTCTACATAAATGGCCCTCCAGCACCAGCCCAGCACTTGGACCCCTCCCCCCGGAAAAGAGAGCCCTCCGCCTAGCCCTTCCTGATGCCCAGTGCCTGTCTTTCTATTAAATAGGCCCTCTGCTCTGCCAGGTCCCCAGGAGCCCCTTCACCTGGATCTTTGACCTGTCCCCCATCTTCGTCCTGCACCTCCACCATGCCTAGTGGTGCTGGATCCTTCACAGGATCCCGCCTCAGGCTGCTTCCTGGGCACGTGGCTCCCACCTATCGCAAAAGCCTGCACACAGGCCTTTTGTGCTCACACAACAGAGCGGAAGCCGGAACCAAACTGCAGCTCTGGGGGCGCTGTGCTTGGGGCTCCCAGGCAGGCCTCTCACCCTCCGTGGGGGCTCAGCTCTCTCCCAGGACAGCTCTTGCCCTTCCACCTCTGGGGGGCAGCAGTTTCAGCTGCAGCCTAAACACAGCACCTGGCCCCTGTGCCTCCTAGGTGTCTTACTCCGTTTCCATCCATGCCCCACCGGGCCTGGGCCTGCAGGAGATAGAAATCCACTGGCAACCACGGCCGGTGTGGGGCGTGGTGCTCCCAGGCCCCCGAATTCTCTTGTCTCTGCCTCTTTCTCGTCATCAGCACAGACCTCCATTCCCAAAGGTTTGGAGACATTTGGTGGTGGAGCAGGTACAGGGCATGCACGCATTTAAACGATGACGAGGACCACTTCTACGAGGTCTCCATTCACACACATTTTCCTCAATGAAGTTCAAAGAGCCTGCAGACTGGGCGGAAACGGCAGGAAGGCAAAAGCAGGTCAAAGAAAGCTGCTCAGTAATGTGCCCAGAATCTCCTGAACGCAAATCCATGGCAGTGGCCATGAATTTCCCCATCATGTTAAGTGGAGGGGAAACATGTTATTCTCTTAACAAGTCCACCTTAGCGTTTTGGTATTTGGAGGACTTTGACAACCAGAAACGTGTCTTTGTTTCCCCAGCTCCAGTGGCTGTTGGATAATTACGAAACCGCCGAAGGCGTCAGCCTGCCCCGAAGCTCCCTGTACAACCATTACCTCCGGCACTGCCAGGAGCACAAGCTGGACCCTGTGAACGCCGCCTCCTTCGGGAAACTGATTCGCTCTGTGTTTATGGGCCTGCGGACGCGGCGGCTGGGCACCAGGTGGGACCACCCAACCTCCCCCGTGCCCACCCATCCTTCCTCTTTCTTTATACGGAAGTCCAGCTTTTGAAGAACGTGGAGCTGCCTCCTCTGCCTGCGGATCCCAACGGGCACGGCTCCGGGTGGACGCGGAGCTGCCCCGGGTCAGCGGCAGCAGTGCCTGACCAGGGCCGGGGTGGGCTGTGTTCCCGTTCCCTCCGGGGGACGAGACATGAGGGTCCACCTCAGCTCCCTCTCTTTGCGTGAAATTTTTCATAATAACAGGTTTTTAAAGGCTGCCTCTGGATTATCTAACAGAGCTGGATTTACTACTTCTTGATGCTTGTTGCTGCGGCCTGCCCTTGGCCTGCAGCAGCCAGGGAACCTCACGTGTCATAAACTTAACCAGCAAGTAACGTGAACACCCCTCCCACTAAAACAAACAAACCAAAGGTGGCCACACTGTACTTAAAGTGCGAGGCCCAGAGCTCATGCAGCCATGGTCCGAGGCGGCTCGGCATCTGCCCTCAGTGAGGTCGCGCAGACAGGGCCAGTGGGGCTCATTGGCACGCTCCCAGAAGCCGGCATCCTGGACAAGAGGATGAGTGGCAGGGCCTTCTCTTGTCCTCTGCCACCCCTCACCCTTGACAGACAGATGATACCTTCATAGAATGCAGACACAGAATGGGTTTTCTGGCTGCGGGACTTCACGGAGCCTTTATCACACAACAGTGCATGAGGGGAACCTGCCTGAGGGGGGAGTGGTGTGCAGAGTGAGCATTCCCCACGCGGTCCAGGCAACACTGGGCCGGAAGGCCTGAAGTGCGGCTGCCGAGGCAGAGCACCACCTGTCCTTCAGGACATCCACAGGGAGAGCTGAGCCCGGATGTTTGGTTTCTAGGGGCAACTCCAAGTACCATTACTATGGGATCCGTCTGAAGCCAGACTCACCCCTGAACCGGCTGCAGGAGGATACCCAATACATGGCCATGCGGCAGCAGCCCGTGCATCAGAAACCGAGGTGGGTGACCCAGGCAGAGGCCGGCCTGCAGGAAGGGGCAGGGCGTGGATTTTTCTAGGGAGACACAGGGAGGGAGTTTCTCAAACATTACACACTGTGCATTTGTATAAGGGGACTCCTGCCCTACGGTGGAGAAGAGAACCTTGCAATAACCTCAGTCTCCAGTGTCCTGGGAGGGCCCAGACGTTCACCTCCAGTGCAGAGGCCAGCAGGACTCGGGGCTACGCGTACAACCTCACTGGCTAACAGAAATTCCAGAGCGTTGTCTTTAAAAAAAATAAGCATTATTTTTTAGAGCAGTTTTAGGTCACAGCAAAATTGGCTGAAAGGTGCAGAGATTTCCCATACGCCCCTGTCCCGCACATGCACAGCCTGCCCACCATCCTGTCCCCCTCCGGAGCGGTGCGCTCCTGCTGCCCGGCAGCCCCGCACTGACGCTCCGAGATCACCCCAGTCCGTCCTCTGCAGGGGCGTTCATCCTGGTGTGGGGCGCTCTGTGGGTCGGGCAGATGTATAACAACACGTGTTCACCACCCTCACGGTGTCGCACAGAGTAGTGTCACTGCCCTAGAAGTCCTCTGTGCCTGCCTGTCCACCCCTCCCTCCCTCAGCCCCTGGCAACCCTGATTCATAGTCTTTTCTCTTCCAGATGTCAAAAAGTTGGAACCACAGATCTTTAATTTTCCAACTACCGGAGGGCGGGGGGGAGAGAAGGAGAGAGAGAGAACACAGAAAATGGCCCAGGGAGCCAGGAGAAAGAAGCCCGTAGACTTAAGTTGCTGCTTTCTTGCTGACGTTTAGATCTGATGGCTGGAAAGGCCTGGTCACTTTCTGGGATGTTCTCTCTACCCCTCTTTTAAGGCAGGGGTCAGCTAACATTTCTATAGAGGGTCAGAAAACAAATCTGCTGTTGTGTGTGAGAGCCACCTCGGATGAGTCATAAGTGAGTGGGCGTGGCTGTGTGCCAATAAAACTTTATTTATGGGCACTGAATCGTGAACTTGCAAACAAGTGGCAGCGTTGGTGGCCCCCCACAGCTAACATCTGCCTCAATTCAGGCTCCCACTCGAGTATCGCCTCCCTGGCAGCCTTCAGGCCCCCCAGCCCCCTCTCCAGAGCCCGGACTGTGCCAGCAGGTCCTTTACCCCCACGGCCCCTCCATGCCGCTGCCAGACTGTGAGGCTCTCAGTCCCGCGCCAGCAGCTCTACAGTGCCCCAGGGACTCCCCATCCCATGGCCAGTCCCGGGGGTCAGAGGTCCCAGAAAAGAGCCTCCAGGAGCCAGCTCATCAGAACAGAGTGAACGGTCTGCCCTGACTCGTCCGTGCGCAGACGTGGTGTCGGCCCCACAGACGCCAGGCAGCATGTCTGTTATTTTGGGAGCAGCTGCACGCGTTTTATGGCAACACGTGGAACTGCCCTGAGGAAGGTGGCCCACGGCCATCTGAGTGGCACTGCTTTGTCTTCACAGTGAGACGGCCCCTCCCACAGCGGCACGCCCAACTCAGGCCAGGACCCCTGCCCCCGCTTTCTGCCATGCACACCACCTCCCAGCGCCCCTCTGGGCTGAGAGGGGCAAGTTGCCCGGGGAGTCCTTCTCTGCTCGTGCTTCTCCGTTTGCTGCCACACGGGCAGTGCCCACTGCTCCCTGTCTCCAGGCAAAAGGAAAGTCAGAACTTCCTTTGAGACAGTACAATAGTAAGATGTTTGAAATTCTGTACGTGGAGTTAACTTGTCTTCCAAGAGCGAGGCAGCAGAATACTGTGTACATGTACAGACACACACATACAAGCCACCCGCGCATCCAACAGCAGATGGGCAGATAGACGAAGTGTGGTATGCATTTTGGAACAGGATTCAGCTATAAAGAGGAAGGACATCTTGAGACATGTGACAATGGGGATGAGCCTGGAGGACATTATGCTCAGTGAGAGAAGCCAGACACAGAAGGACAAATACCTTGTGATCCCACTCCCAGGAGGTCCCTGAAGGAGTCAGATCTGTAAAGACAGGGAGTAGATGGTGGGGGTCAGGGGTTGGGGGAGCGGGGGGAGTCAGCGGGGAGGATTCAGTGAGGACAGAGGTTCAGTGTGCCAAGATGAGAAAGTTCTAGAGATGGATGGTGATAATTGTTGTGTAACAATATGAATGTACTTCATTGAACTATATGTACACTTAGAAATGATTATGATGATACATTTTATTTATGTGTATTTGACCACAATATTTTAAAGTTACACACACACTAAACTGCATCCGGTTCAGCCCTTTGATCCTCGGGCCCCTTCTGGGCAGTGCTGCTGGGGCCTCACGGTGGCACGTGTGTCCCCTACCCAGGTACCGGCCAGCCCAGAAGTCAGACAGCCTTGGGGACAGTGGCTCGCACAACAGCCTGCACAGCACGCCGGAGCAGGCCGCGGCCGCGCAGAGCCAGCACCACCAGCAGTACATCGGTGAGCGGCGGCAGCACCCTGGGCGCAGGGCCTGCTGCGAGACCCCCGCTCTCCTTGGCGCTTCCGGGCGCTCCTGGGTTTCATCACCAGCAGCACCTAGAGGGGTGCACCAAACAGTTTTCTTGTGTGACACCTCTTCAGTTACACAGACAATTTTAGATAAACCTCTCTTGTGGCATCCCTGAGGTTTTAAACAGTAAGCATATGCCCCCAAAATTAATGTATAAAGCGACCATCACAAATTAAGTAAACAGAATGAAATCCCCGTCAGAGGGAAGACCAGATGCCCGGATTTAACACCTGTCGGCTCAGGACGGCAGCAGGATCCATCCACCCTCCTGGGCGCTCTTCCCCACTTACTGGGGTGCTCAGGACCCCTGGGACCCCTAACACGGAGTTTTTCCCTCCAGGTGCCCTCACACAGGGCTGCCTGGCCCTCTTCCCTGGGAGCCACAGTCCCCCTGCCACCACTTTCTTGGGACTGCATCCTGACTCGGAGCCTGCCACCCGCCCAGGCACATCTAGGAAGGGCTGCTGGGACCGGCATCATAAGCATGCCCCCACTTAGACGTCAGTGGCCTGGGTCTGCTTTTAGTGTATTCTTCGAGCCTGAACAGGACTCGCCTGTACTGGGTCTTCTGGAGAGGTCATCAGGCTGGGAAGGTCACCATGGGACCAGCCTTGTCCCCAGATGCACTGCCTGGGCTGGCCCCATGCCAGGGTGAAACGAGTACTCGCTGTGTCCTGGGCCCTGGCTCAATGCTTGTCTGTGGGGACATATTTCATGTGCCTGGGAGGTGAGGATGCTGTCCCCATTCTGTACCTGAGAAACTGAAGCTTTCAAAGGCTGTGTGACTGCCCAGGGAGCCAGGACGCTGCCCAAGGTTGTCAAGTAGTCACCAGCATGTCCAGACAGCGTCCCCAGCACACGGGCCTCCCAGCCCAGCCTCTGCATGTGGACCTTCTGCGGGTCTACTGATGGTTTTGTTTCTCCCCCCCAGATGTCTCCCATGTCTTCCCAGAGTTCCCAGCACCTGACCTGGGCGGCCTCTTGCTTCAGGACAGCATCACACTGCAGGACGTCAAGGCCCTACAGCTGGCCTACCGGCAGCACTGCGAGGTGACCGCCCCCTGCAGGTGGCCCTAGGAAGAGCCCACAACTGGTCTGTGGGATCCAGTGGGAGCCTCGGTGCCCCCAAGGCCTGGTGCAGAGCCTGGCGTGCCTCCTCAGAACCACCAAACTCGAGGGCATCCCCAGTGTCCCTGACAACACAGAGAGCCCAGGAGTGCACTGCTGCTCCCTCCAGCCATGGAGCAGATAGAATCTCTGCCTCCTGGACGGTGCCCCTCTGTCCATTTCCATCTCCTCTGTGGTCCCTCTCTGGATTTCAAAAGACCCCCCCACCTTCCCCGCAGCCTGCATCACGGCCCCTCCCCGGGAACGTCCGTATGACGGGTGACCCACACCTTTTGAACGTGCACATTCGCGTGTATATCCAGACGCTTTTATTTCCAGGCAACTTTGGATGTCGTGATGAACCTCCAGTTCCACTACATCGAGAAGCTGTGGCTTTCCTTCTGGAATTCTAAAGCCTCCTCCAGCGACAGCCCTGCCTCTCTACCAGCCAGGTGTCTGTCCTTGTCCCCCAGACAGGCCTCATGACACCCACACTGTGACCCACAGACAAATGGGCAAACGCCCCAAGAACTGGCACTCCTCCCAACTATGTTTTCTTTGTGACCTTCTGACAATTGGTTTGTAATTTGCGTTGCCCATTCACTTGTTTCAAGTGAGTGATTTTATTGGTGACCATGTGCCATCCCAAAGGGAAGTCACCTCAGCTGTAGCCACAGTGGGACACATCATTACCTCAGCCACAGGTGGGGGGAAGGGACAGCAAGACCCCCATGGAGATATAAGCCAGGGTGGGCACAGGCCTCCCGTGGTCTTTCAGCTGCGGCTCACCTGGTCCCCCCCATTTCCCCACAGTGACGAGGACCCCAAAGCCGTCATCCTCCCGAAGGACAAGCTGGTGTCTCTGTGTAAATGTGACCCCATCCTTAAGTGGATGAGGAGCTGTGACCACATCCTCTACCAGGCCCTGGTGGAGGTCCTCATCCCCGACGTGCTGCGGCCGGTGCCCAGTAAGCAGCTCGCCGCCCCTGCCGCCCCTCCCTCCTGCCCCTGCACCCCTGCAGCCACCTTGTCAGGTCCAGCTCGGACTTGGGACACCGAGTGTCCGGGGAGAGCAGCAGCTCAGTCACCCCTGGAAGATGCTCGCCCTTGCCTGCCTGCTTTCCTTGTCACTGACCCAGGGAGAGAAGGCGGGAGGGCCCACCTGCTCCGGTGAGGGCTGCCCACTTGGGCCTGGCTGGGCTTGGGGCTTTGAGCTGCTGCCCAGTGCTGTGGAGTCCTGGAACTCTGATGTCCCAAAGGAATCCTAGAGGGTGGGGCCAAAGTCACAGCACGTCTCTACCCCTCTAGGCTCTGCATTTGCTAAAAGCCCCATGGATGGTCTGAATCTGGTTTTAACCTACTTCACCCATGCTGATCTGAGACTGAGTCCAGCTTCCTCCCAACCCTGTGGCTCTTTAGCACCAAAAGGTGGACTCTATAGTATTTTCTCCAGATTCCAGCATCCTTAATTAAGGAAAGGCGAAAAAAATGAAATCATGGGCCTTGATGGCTACACCCCTTGGGGCTGACATGTGCTGGGGGGACCTTCCCAGGACCACTAGGACCTGGCTGCCAGGCCATTGGTGGTGGTGAGAAAACCCACCACCAGGGGGCACCTGTTGTGCCAGCCCAACTTCAGGCTCTCCTGTGAGCTCCTGGCATCCTGCAGGTGGAAGCACTGTCCCAAGGGATGGGCCAGCAGGCTGGGTACTGAGGCCTTTCTCTTCTTAATCAGCTACTCAGGGGGGTGCCACCGGTCACACTTGGCAGGTGACCTGTGCACATTTTGTCTCAGTGCTCGGAAAACCTCAGTCTTTCTTAACGAACTAGCTGCTGCATTTGTGCCCAAAAACGGGAAGCAGCAAAACGATTGCGTTTGCCCTGCGGCCTTGCCTGCCCGACAGCTGTTAAGTGTCATGTGCAACTGTGTGTCTGTGTTAAGGTTTGAGTTTGGGTAGCTTTACTTTTACATCTGGGGGACTTTTTTTCTTTTTTCTAAAGAGTCTTATTATTTGTTTCCTATTGTAAGCCATCTTAAAATATGCTTAGAACTTGCTGGAATATATTTACATGCATGTGTATTAGAGTTTCTCAGTCTCAGCACTGCTGACACTGGGGCTAGGTCACTCTCTGTGGGGCCATCCTGGGCACTGCAGGGTGCTGGGCAGCATCCCCACCCCCACCCACTCGATGCCAAGAGCATCCCAGTCGTGACAACCAGATGTCCCAGATATCACCCAGTGTCCCCACGGGGCAGGGTCGCCCTGGGTGCGAACCCCCAGTGCAGAGACGAACAGTCCTGCGGGCCCTGACTCCCACCCCGGCCCCTCACTGTGTGTCTCCCCAGGTTGCCCGGGCCTGTGCTGCTCCTTTGTTCTCCTGTTCCCTCGTTGGGTGGGAGCTTTCATTACGTTTGCATGTCTTACACTCATTGCTGATCCTGCTGGGTGAGACTCTGCTTTTCTTTCCTTTAACACTGTGGTTCGACTCCCCAGGCACCTTGACACAGGCCATTCGCAACTTCGCCAAGAGCCTGGAAGGCTGGCTGACGAACGCCATGCGAGACTTCCCACAGCAGGTCGTCCAGACCAAGGTAACTCCTGGGGTTGGGGGCTAGGCCTTCAGACCACACCGCTGGCCAGAAGCAGAGGCCACAGGCCTGGGGACCCCTCAGGCCCGGCTATGCTGTGAAGGGAGGGGGCCAGGAGTGGCTCAGAGGAGGGGCTCCTCTCTCTGCTCTAGGGGAACTTGACCGCTGGACCCCAGAGTGTGCCCTGAGGACCAGCGACCCCTTCAGGAAGTCCTGAGGATGCAATGGGTGTAGGATGAGCACTGTCAGGGAGGGTCACAGCAGAAGATGCCATTTCATGTGACATATTAGAGTCAACTCACAGCATATGAAATGTTTCTGTGCTCGTGAAAAGACAGGAATTTAATCTCCTTGCTTTACTCTTACTACAATAGTCTTGGCCACAAATCAGAATTTAAACGTGGACAGTTGGCCCACATGTGAAAAAGAGAATAACCTTGGCGACTGTTCTTGCACACATCTCTAAAGGGGCTGCCACATACAGAGGAGGCCAGATTCTGGGCATCTGGTCTACCTGGCTACTGCCTGGAATTTCTCTGTTAGGCTGGTGATACTGCAACTTCAGGGAGAGAAAGAACTGCCTAGGTAGTTGGTGAATTGCACATTCCCAGGCTGCCCCCACAGAGTCTGACCCAGCAGCACCCAGAAACCTGCATTCTCACCAGCCCCTCCAGAAGACGGAAGGAATTAAGTTCTAACCCACCTGTGCCATGGCATCTGCTATAAATGCCACGTGATACATTGGTGACATCGGTGTCCTTCACTTATTCTCACTCTTTGAGTTCCTGAGACTGTCAGACGGGTGCACCCCTCCTCCATGCCCCAGAACTGTCCATGAGCCCATGCCCTCCAAGAAGCAGAGAGAACAGGCTTTCCCTACATGTGTGCATCTGCATGTGCATCCGTACACGTGTGCATGCATATGTGCATGCATGCAGCTGACCCTCTCATGCCGTCTGTGGCCACAGGTTGGGGTGGTCAGCGCCTTCGCCCAGACCCTGCGGAGATACACGTCCCTCAATCACCTGGCTCAGGCAGCCCGGGCCGTGCTTCAGAACACTTCCCAGATCAACCAGATGCTCAGCGACCTCAACCGCGTGGACTTCGCCAATGTGCAGGTGACTTTCCCCAGCAAGGTTCCCCACAGCCAGGGACAGGTCTCTGGAACCAGCCTGGAGAGCAGGGGCAATGTGCGTGTGCCCCCCACCCCTCTATCCAGCCTCCTACCACCTAAAAATGTACACAGACCCACCAGCTTCCGCTCACAGAAAACCCAGCACACATTTCTGTTGCATGAGCCATATTCAGGGTTGGCCCACCTAGGGACCCAGGTCTCACTCCAGGATCTCTGATTCTCCAGGAGCTGTGACTGTCACCTGTGTTCATTCTCTTTAAGAATGTGCCTTCCAGCCCTGGCCAGGTGCACAGTTGATGGGAGCCTCACCCCATGCACCGAAGGGTTGCAGGTTCAATCCCCTGTCAGGGTACATATGGAAGGTAACCAATGGACGTTTCTCTCTCTCTTTCTCTTCCCCAACCCTCTTCCTCTTTCTAAAAAATCAATAAACATATCCTTGGATGAGGATTTTTTTAAAAAGTGCCTTTCTATTGCCATGCTCATAGTTCTCTCTTTGGGCTTAGAAAAGTTCAGGCTGTCAGCAAATGGATCAGCTTCTGTATTTACGTCTAGTTCAGGCCCTGGGTTTACCCACTAAATACACACGCACACTCACAAGACTGACTACTCAAAAATAAAATAGCACAAAGACGTGGTGTAATCAGAGCGATGGATCCAGGAAGCCTTACATGCCAGGCAGGCTCCCTGTCTGGTCCATCTGTCCCCACCCCCATGAAGTGGGCACTAATGGTGCCTGGCTGCAGTTGGGAAAGGCCAAGAGTGAGGATGCATGCATGCTTGCCGTAAGGTCAGGCCTGGAACACCTGGTGCTCAGGAGACGGCCGCAGCCAGGGTCACTGTGCTGTCACCCATGACGTTGGCGTGGGGGCTGTCACTGAACCACTGCCCTTGCACCCGCAGGAGCAGGCCTCGTGGGTGTGCCAGTGCAAGGAGAGCGTGGTGCAGCAGCTGGAGCAGGACTTCAAGCTGACCCTGCAGCAGCAGAGCTCCCTGGACCAATGGGCCAGCTGGCTCGACAATGTGGTCACCCAGGTCCTGAAGCAGCACGCAGGCAGCCCCAGCTTTCCCAAGGCTGCCCGGCAGTTCCTGCTGAAATGGTCCTTTTATAGGTAAATGCCCCTTGATCTCCCCGAGAATTCTGGGAGGGTGAGGGTGGGGGGTGCTAGAGGTTGTCCTGTGGGCCTCATCCAGGCACACTAGCGCCCAGGGCCAGGCCCAGCGCCCCCCATGGCGTAAAAGTGGGTGGTAGGCTTCTGCAGACAGAAATCATTCTCCGGCCTTGTGGAGAATCACAGCAGCTTGAGTGCATGCGCTTACTTCTCCTCCCTAGCAAAACCCTACCAAGTGGCACTAAAGGAAATGGTGAGAAGGCATATACCCCCAGAAGAAGGGGAACAGGAGAGCAGGTGATGACAGAGAAGAGAGGAGTAAGAGCAAGAGTTTGGGAGACGGTGCGAGGTGGTCAGTTAGGTCAGGGACCCAGATGGGAATCCAACATCGGGCTTTTATCTCTTCACTGCCGAGTGCAAATAGGAGGCAAAAACAGGTGTCAGTTCCCCTGTGGTCCATGTGTCCCACAGAATGGCACTGGGCAAGGGGCAGGTGTGTCAGGGAATACATATTTTTAAATTATACATAGCCCTGGCTGGTGTGGCTCAGTGGATTGAGTGCCAGCCTGCGAACCAAAAGGTTGCCGGGTCGATTCCCAGTCGGGCCACATGCCTGGGTTGCAGGCCAGGTCCCCAGTTGTGGGTGTGCGGGAGGCAACCAATCACTGTTTCTCTTGCACATCATGTTTCTCTCCCTCTCTTTCTCCCTCTTTTCTCCCCTCTCTAAAAATAAGTAAAATCTTTTATAAATAGATAAATTATATATGTAAATATATTCCAGTTAATCATAATTTATATACAAATGGAAATTATTATCATATATTCATATATAAAGAGATTTATTTCAAGCAACCGGCTCCTGCGGTGGTGGGGGCCGGCCAGTCTGAAACCTGGAGGGCCGGCCCAAGGCCAGAGACTCTCCAACCGGAGCGGACTCCGCAGGCCACGAGCCAGGTTTCTTCCTCAGGGAAACCTCAGTTTTGCTCCGAAGGCCTTTCAGCTGATTGGATGAGGCCCATCTTCTTCACTTCATGTTGACTGACGGTAGAGGTGACCCTCAGCCACAAAATGTCTGAGCAGCACCAAGACCGCTGTTTGACTAAATGCCTGGGCGCTAGAGGCTGGCCAGGCTGACGCATCAACCATCAGACGTGAGAGAGAAAAATATATGGAGAAAGAAAAAATGTGAGAAAAATCCTGAAAGAAATGAAAAGATTGGATCCAGGAGGTTCAATATCAAATGGATAGGATTTCTTTTTAATGGGGGAGAAAATGGAGGGAAAGAAAATAATAAAACCATCATCAAGAAGCTGTCCCGGGACTGCAGGGTGCCAGTGACCAGACTGAAGAAGCCGCTGCAGCCCCCGTCTTGAGGAGCCGCAGCCTCCGCAGGTGGCGTCGGGGCAGCGAGGCTGGGGGACAACTGTGCAGGCTTCCAGCAGGGAGCGACTGGACCGCTGAAGGCCCGGAACCGGAACAGTGTCCTCCAACTGAGCCAGAATGCAGCATCCAGTCGGCGAGAAAACAGTATCTTCAGAATTCTAAAGGAAAAGTATCCAAGCTGTGATCCTAACCTGCGCAGACAGAAGCAAGGGGACCGGGACCTCACAAGGGACACCATCCAGAAGACTTGGACTGTGCTTGCTGACAGCAGCCCAGCAGTTTTGCCAGGGGTCCTGGTCTCAGCTGGTAAGCAATGTGTGGAGAACTGAGTGTTTTTTAAGAAGGAGTCGGTTAACCCAAGGAAAATGATATCATTCTAAGGCTTTTTGGCTATGCATGGTCCGACTGATCGGGGAGCTACAGCTGGCGAATCGGACCACCCTTCACCTGATTGTGCAAACAGCGTGTTGTCAGCACCCAGCCGCACTCATTCATTTATGGATCCTTAGCAGAATGGTGACCACGTGGCCACAAAGCTGAAAATATTTACTGTCTGGGTCTTATTTTAAAAAAAATCTTTGCTGCTCTCTCAGCCAACCACCTAGTAACTCCATTCTCAACTCCCTCCTCATGCTCTACTGTAGCCTTGCCGCCTCAGGGCCTTTATTCTGCTGACCACCCCCCCCCGCCACCTGGAACACCTTCCCCTCAGATAGCTGTGTGGCTGGACCATCACCAGAGAGGCCCCTCAAGGCCACCTTAAACAGTAGCATGCACCTTCTCATCCTCTGTCCCCATGCCCCACTGTTCCTCACGGTCACCTGTCACCTTGCTCTCTGTCTGTTGTCGATCTCCTCCATGATGGAGCACCGCCCCCAAGAGCCATGATGCTGCTTCTGTCTACTGCACTGTCCCCAACACGGGAATGTTAGTTGAGTGAATGAACAAGGAAGGAAATGTGAACCTGATATATTGCCTGGCTCTGCTGTGAACTTAACACCCCATTACCACATACGGGAACACCGACTGAGGAAAAAAGTACTGCAAAGTAACACTGAGATGACAGACGAGGAAGGGGCACAGAGTCAGTGTCCCTGTGGTGGAGGGTCTCCGGGACAGTCATGGCCTGAGGAGTGGAGAGCAGCAGGATGAGCCTGTGACACGGAAATGTGGAAATGAGAGCGCAGCTGGGGCTGAGAGGGGCCATGGCCTCTGTGGCATCACACAGTGCTTTTCTCCACAACGACTGAAGCACTGCCTGACTCCATCCTGTTGGGTTTAAGGGACCTATTTCTGCAGCATCCACCAGAAGATGGTAGATGGGTGAGCAGGGGCTTCGTGGGGGATCGCCAACCTCCGGTTGAACTGATGGTCCTCCTGCAGGAAGCTACCAGCCCATGTGGAGAACCCAAAACCTACCAAGCCACCATGGAGATGGTTTGGAAAAGCTACTTGAGCTGAAGCATCGCACCAGATGCCGAGGCTGGGGGTTGCAGGTGGAGAGTACCAGCGGGGCGGGCCCCAGATGGGGAGTGAGACCTGTGGCATGTGGACCTGCGGCCCCCGACCGAGCGGCAGCAGACGGACAGTGTCTGAATGCCTGAGCTGGCAGGCACGTCCAGACCTCTGTTGCCTTGTGGCTGACAAACAGCGTTCCGGAGAAGGGAGCTGTCACAGAGTCAAACCCAGCACAGCTTCCTGGGGTGGGGAATGGAGGGAGAGGCGGTGAGAGGCGGGCAGGGGCGAGAGCCTGCTGCCCAGGGACCTGCAGTCCATGTTCGTTCATTCACTTCTGGCGGAGTTGGCCGGACAGAGCCCAAGAAGCTTCTACAAAGAAAACATACCACAAACCCTGAGCCCTTTCACCCTGTCCACTTAGAAGTGTGGCCTTTGTGTTCATGAATGTCCTTCAAGTGACCTTTGCTTTCTACAGTGCCAGTTTGGGCACAGTGGCTGCCCGGTTCCTTCCTTGGTTACCCCTCCTGAGTCAGCTCAGAGCCACAACCAGCTAAGCCAGCTCTTTGTCTCTGTGGCTGAACAAAACTGCCTTCAGAGTGCATCTACAAACTGGCGCAGGAGGGTGCAAGAAGACTAAATACACCGATGTTGTTGTCGGCTGTCTTTACAGACTCGCCTGCAGCCCTGTTGTGAACACACAAGTTCAACGGAGGCACATTGACACTTCCAAACATTTGAGCAAACACTGGTTGGCAGTGGGCAGCCTCAAACCCAAAGTGGCGGGGAGCCCCCACCGACAGGAGCCAGGGCCCAGTGTTTGTGGGGAAGGTGAGGAAGCAAAGCAGGGACGTGGTTTAATTGGCCACAGCAATACAGCTGCCTTGTTTGGAAACCAGCTGCTAGTGATTCCTTGTTTGCAAGTTTCTCTCTCAGGCTCCAGGGCATTGACGTGGCTTAGATTTTGGTTTGCTTACCAGACTCAAGGCATCAGCACCACCTCAGGGTGCTGACCCTCTTATTCAGTTCCTGTGATGGTCTGTCTCCCTCCTGGTCTTGCCCCTGCCTGTTCCTTCCTTTGCTACAATAGTGATTAGACTCGACTGAGAGTAGGTGAGCTCTGAGATGGGCATTTCAGTGTTTGTGGCTACATGGCAGATGAGTTTATAGGCCAGAGTTTCTGGTTGGGTTTTGGTGTATGCTCACTTTAAATCAGGGGTCACTTTTTTATATTCAAAATCAACAGATATTAAGTATTTTTGAATAATAGGTTTATGGGCATGTGGCACACGACATGTAAACAAACGGGCATGGCTGTGTGCCGATAAAACTTTATGGACACTGGAACGTGAATGTCAGGCACTTTTCTTGGGTCACAAGATAATTCTTCTTTTGACCTTTTTCCCCAGAATTTAAGATGTATTGGTTTGGCCAAAAAGTTTGTTTGTTTCTTTTCCATAAAATGGCTCTAGTGGCACTTAGTTGTCTCTAACTTCATTTGAAACAATTTTGACAGATTGTATTATAACAGCTGCCATGTCAGGTGCATTTTAAAAAATTATCAAAATTGGTGAATTTTTGTGTAGCCATTTTAATATTGAAGATGGAAGGAAATATACTACATTTTCAGTGCATTATGCTTTACTATTTCATGAAGGGTAAAAACATAACTGAAACACACACACAAAAAGATCTGTGCAGTATATGGAGGTGCTGTGACTGATCGAATGTGTCAGAAGTGGTTTGCAAAGTTTTGTGCTAGAGATTTCTTACTGGACGATGCTACATGGTTGGGTCTACCAGTTGAAGCTGACAGTGATCAAATCGAGACATTAACTGAGAACAATGAATGTTCTACCACGAGGGACACTGCCAACATACTCAAAATATCCAAATCAAAAAAGTTATTGGTGAAAATGAAAAATATGTCTTATTTTACGGAATAAACTAAACAAACTTTCTGGCCCAATAAAAACCATTCTTAGCTCACAGGTTGTACAAAATCAGGTGGTGCACTGGGCTTGGTCTGGGCTGGGCTGTAGTTTGCCAATTGCAGAGGCAAAAGCACCCTGAAGTCTTGTCCGGATGTTGGGTGCCTTGAGCACTGACTGGGGAGGGGAGGACTCGGGGAGGCGGGGAGGCGGCCTGCTGCGGGGGGTCGGCAACCGCACTGAAAAGTCTCCTTACCAAAGGCGGTCTCTGAGGCTTGTATCTGAGACATCTGCTGTCCCCTCCTCAGTCACACTGGGACACAGGGGCAGTCTGGCAGCCAGTGGGCCCCTTGTAGGTCTAAAGGGTCCCCAGACAACCTCAGAGCTGAAGAAAAGCCTGGTTCACCTGCCTGGTGGGGCTCCGTGCTCCCGGAAGGCGCCTAGCCTCTGTCTGCCCATCCCCCAGCTCCATGGTGATCAGAGACCTCACCCTGCGCAGCGCGGCCAGCTTCGGCTCCTTCCACCTGATTCGCCTGCTGTATGATGAGTACATGTTCTACCTGGTGGAGCACCGTGTCGCCAAGGCAACCGGGGAGACACCCATTGCAGTGATGGGAGAGGTGAGCACCCCGGAGCAGCCTGCAGGGGTGAGGGGAGGCTGCTGGGCAGGACACAGTGGACGGAGGGCAGGAAGGAGCCCTCCTGCCAGAGCCCACAGACCTGGGGTCACCTCCACCCATTTACTCTTGCCCTGGCAGGATTTCCTGCCTCCAAGTGAGGCCCGACCACCCCACCCTGGGGAGGGTTTTAGCTGGTAAAGTCCAGCTAACATAAACCATCAGGTCAACCATTTTGAAGTGAACAGTTCAGTGGCAACTGTCACCTCTATCTAATTCTAGAACAGTCCATCACCCCACAGAGAAACGTCCCAGTGGCCATTCCCATGCCCCTCCCCAGCCCCTGGCACCCACACACCCACTCCCCGTCTCTGGGTGTGCCTGCTCTGCACACTTCACACACGTGCAGCCACACACTGGGGCTCCTCGCCCTAAGCGTGCGTGTTCCAGGCCCGCCCGCGTGCAGCGAGTGTCTTTCCGGCTGAGTGACAGTCCAGTGCGTGGCGTTCCGCGTCTGTTTGTCCGTTCATCTGCTGATGGACATTAGGGTTCTTTCCACCTTTTGGCTACTGTGAGTCATGCTGCAGTGAACATGTGTACACATGTTTTTGTTTAAACACCTGTTTTCAGTTATTTTGGGTACCTACCCAGGAGTGGAATTGCTGGGTCATGTGGGATTGTTTTGAGGAAGAAAGGTGGTGACACTTATACAGCTTTGGAACATAATAAATGCCCTTGATGAATGCCAGCTTTTCCTTCACTGTCCCTATTCAGAGGCCACAGTCCTGCGCCTTGCTGGTCTGAGCGTCAGCACCCCCGACCCCGCCGCACCTCACAGAGGCCGCGTCACAGTTGCTCCTTGTGTCAGAACCCCTCACTTACTCAGCGACAGCCAGTTTTAGCCACTGGCGGTGACCTTGCTAACCTTTCCTGGGACCTGCTCTGCAGGGGCCCTGACTCTGTCCTCTCTCTTTCAGTTCAGCGACCTCGCCTCCCTGTCGCTGACACTGCTGGACAAAGGTAGGTGTGTCTGTGGCTTTCCCGATAGGTTCCCCCGCCCATGGCCCAGGGGAGATCAGGGCAGCTCCTGGGGCGGGCTGAGGCCTCGAGAGCTGGCATCCAGACGGCAGACACCACTGGGGCAGCAACAGACGCCCCAGTGTTGCCTCTGAAGGACTGGCCCCAGCGGGGGCTCAGAGGAGCGGCCCTGCTCCCTCCTGCTCCTGTGTGGCCCTTTGGGGTGACCTTTAATCCTGATCCCTGGGCACCCCCACACCAGGCCCCAAGGAGCAGGGCCACAGCCAGGAATGAGGTGGAGGGGGAATCCGAAGGGGGAGTGGGGCAGAAAGCCCTCCACCTGTGGCCCATTCCTGCCCCCACGGGCTGGAGGACCGAGTGCCAAGGGCAAACCTGCCAGGAATGTGACCCATGCAAAGGAGCACGGGTCAAGGGGGCTCACGGCTAAGGAGGCCAGGAAGTGCCAGGTGGACCCAGACCAGAGCTGAGGCCCGCTCACTCCAGGGCGCCTCTCTGAGGATATGCTGCTCTCTCTCCCCCTCCCGTGGCCCCCGCCAACCCCCTTGTCCCCAACACTGACCCCGCAGATGACGTCAGTGAGGACCGGAGCAGCGAGGCCGACGCAGACGCCCGCAGCCTGGGTGGGCCCCTGGTGAAGCGGGAGCGCAGCGACCCGAACCACTCCCTGTAGGGCCCAGCACTGAGGCCCTTCCTCAGCTCCGCCCGGCCTCCTTGCACCCTACCGCAGTTGTGCCTCCTACACGAAGTGACCTTGACTCTGACTCACGGGGCCCCAGGGCATGGGCACCCTGGAAGGACACGCTCTTCCTCCCGAAGAAAAACCGCTGTTCACCACAGCCAAAGGCCACACCCAGTTCTGAGAACCTAAATGGCTCCCCTGGGCACTGCCCAGATCTCCTTTTGCTCCAGACCGTCTTAGTCCTCCTGTCTGCTGGCCTGGGGCCTTTGGGCCGCTTCCACACACCCTGTCGACGGCTGGGAGGCCGTGCTGGGCAGGTCGGCACCTCCACATTGGGCTTCTCCTCCATTCAGCCTGGTCCAGTTTTCACCATGATTTTTAAAACTCAGGCAGATCCCTGAAAGGAAGGGTGTCTCACAGCTGTTGGGCAGCCCCAAGCTGTCCTCTTCCACAGGGACCCTGCCCTGTGCTGGGAAGGAACCATCTTCGCACCACACCCCATTGTCTCTCGTGGACAGGCTGTCCTCAGCCTCCTGTCCTGTGCTGACACAGGGAGGCCACCCTGAGGGGTCCCCAGCTCTAGATGTCAAAGGACCCCACAGCGTGTCCCTGGATGGCGGGCAGCCCACTGCCCCACATGGCTCACAGAACAAGTCCCAGAAATAGGCCTGCTGTGTCTGTAAGAGGTAGCCCCAGAAGTGACCAGCAACAGGGAGGACTGTGGTTCTGTCCAAGGTCACAGCCAACAGGGAGCCAAACCACTGAGTCTGGAATTCATCTGTTCTGAGGGGGCCAGGGCGGTCAGTGTTTCAGCGGTGCCCTCAGAGGGCCACCATCCCGCCAAGTCTATGCAAATAGCCATGCCTGCAGCCTGCTCCACAGGCTCTTCTAGAAGGCCTGCCCTGGAATTGGCAACATTGGAGCACCATGACCCCAGTCAGGTCCTGTCGAACTGTTGAAGCTGAGATCTTCTCTGGGGACAAACAGACCCAAGGACTTGCACAGCCCTGAACTTTAAACTCCCGGTCTGTGTCCACTGCGACACATTGCACTTGGTCAGCTCCGTGCGAGAGTTCTGTCCCAAAAGGAACTGCAAAGAAGAAAGATAAACCTCTAGTCTAGGATGCGCCATCAAATGCAATGCAATAGTTTCTCTTTTTGGAAATATGTTTATACCAATAGTCTTGTGCTCTGGTCTCCAGTCATTATTAGAACGTTTCTCATGTGTATCACAGCACATCTGACGCCCCAGGATTTTCCTCATTCAGGTCGAGCAGGGGCTTGGGGCCCACCTCAGCCCTTGCCTGGTGTGCAGAGTCGGGGTTGGGGTGGTAAGAAAGATGAGTGCTGATTCTAGAAACCCAAAGTCCATGATGATCCCAATGTCTGTCTGGTCTTAGAGTTCCAGACTGAGGCAGAAGCAGGCAGAGCGCCTTTAAATACACACCTGCTCTGCTGGAGGGCCCTGAAACTCCCAGTTCATGGACTGCCATTGCGCACCTCTTCGCTCCCAGTGCCCGCTGGGTTCTGCCTTAGGCTCCGTCTTATCCTTTGCAGGATTCCATAGGGAGGACCACAAATGAGTGAGGACAGGAGCCTTCCGAGCCCGTTCTCATTTTTCATTGCAATAGACACATTGAGCGTACCCATTTGGGGGTCACAATCCACATGCCCACTGCCCACGCCCCTCCCCCACAGCCAGAGGTCCTGGAGGACAGGCCCTTCCTCCTGCCTGACCCCTGCCCTGGCCTGTGCGGAAGCAGCGACCTCCAGCGCTTCCCCCCCAGCTCTCTGGGGAGCAATGGAGAAGGAGCATGTTCTTCAAGTTCTGCTTAGCAAGGCCAGCCCAGGGCCAAAGATAGCAAGAAACAATTCCCAGCCCAGGATGGTTGAGGCCGTTTGTAAATAGACTAAATCCATTCAGATATTACAGAATAAATCCACACTCCAGCCTCTGAGGCAGCCTACCACTGGCTCCCAAGGTTTACTCCACAGAGCGAGCGGCAGGGGCCAAAGTCCAGAATCCTCAGGACCAAGGCTAGAGCTTGTTCCAAATCACCAATCCCTGGGCCCAGCCACAGAAAGTCTGCCTCTTGGAACTGGGATGGGGGCTGGGAGTCCACAGTGTGACCACCCCTTCCCAGGGGACCACAGGACCTTGAAGAAACCCTGCAGAAGAGAGTGACACCATTCCCAATCAGCCTCCCCTAGAATCGGCTTCTCACTGCCAGGCCACTGCCCCACAGGCCCCCAGGGATGCTCAGCCTCGGGCCCCAGAGCAGACCCATCTGTCCCACGAAGAGGCCCTGGGGCCCCCAGGTGACACTAAAGTCACCTATCACTTTCCTGGGCTGGGACTCCAGGGTCTGTTTACCTTAATGCTCTGCTGTCACTATCTTGAAATTCTCCAATGTTTGAACAAAGGACCTACATTTTGCTCTTGTACTGGGCCCCATAAATTCTGTGGATGATCCTGAGGAACCACCCCTGCTTTGGGCCCCGACTCACCCCTGCCCTCTGGTGGGTCACAAATTTCATCCCCTGAGCAGCACCAGCCCTTGTACTGAACAGCAGCCAGCCCTGGTCTCCCCCCTCAGAGAGCCTGGCTGTGTGAGGGGGTGGCAGGGGCCCGGAGGAGGAAGACCAGGCCCACCCACTGGGCCTGAGTGGCTGGTGAGGGAGTGAACCCGGGTGATGCCCACGTGCTTACCACCCCAGGAGCTGGAGAGATGGGCGGGGGGGACCTGTTGAAGGCCCACAGGCTGTCCAGTCCCTCCAAGGGCCCACTGGGAAGGTCTCCGGGGAGCAGGCACCACATGATAGGGGGAACCCAGTCCTACCAAGAGCCTCTGGGAACTTCTGTCTAATCACAGGAGCTCCACTATAGACACTTTGGTCTGATCTCTTTTTGACAATCTTCCAAGGTAAGTGTTACCCCCATTGCACACATGGGAAAATGGAAGCTGCTGGCTGGAATGCAGATGTGATGGCTGGAGCACCAACATCCATATTAGGTTGAGGTGGATATAATATAATAAGGATGACGAAATGAGAAGAAGCCTGGATCCCTGGTGGTCATTACAGCCCTCACAGCCCCCAGTCAGAATTCAATAAGCCACAGGCGGGGGGGTGGGAGGCATTGATATTCCTTCCTCCAAGAAGTGGTAGCAAGAATTCAAGCAAGATACAAGGTGCCTACGCATACCCCAACTGCAGGGGTTAACTCTCGTCTGCCTTGCTCAAGACCATTTGCTGAGCAAACATTTAGTGAATGAGGAAATGAGGGAATGAGGAAAGCTCCTGAGAGGAGGTACTATTCCAGGTGGTCATGAGAAGATAAGGGGAAAGAGCAGAAATGTGGGGGAAATATGAGGACTCAACAAAGAGGAAGGAGCCCTGGCTCGTGTGGCTCAGTGGGTTGGGCATCGTCTTGCAAACGAAGGTCACTGGTTTGATTCCCAGTCAGGGCACATGTCCAGGTTGTGGGTCATGTCCCTGGTTGGGGGCATGTGAGAGGCAAATGATCAATGTTTCTCTCACACATTGACACTTCTGTCCCTCTCTTTCTCCCTCCCTTTCCCTCTCTCTAAGAATAAGTAAAATCTTCCCCCCATCTTCAAATAAGTAAAATCATTTTTTTAAAAAATTTACAAGGTGAAAAGGAGGCCACCACCAGAATTTTTTTATCAAAGCTGGGCTGATTCCGGCAGGACGGGTTACTCATGAGGAGACTGGAAGCAAGGAGGTTCCCCAGGGATGCGTCAGGGTTGACAGGTGGGAGCTGTGGGGGCTGGACGGGCGGGCGGAGGGCAGGGTGGGGAAGGGGGCTGAGAGGCCTGATGGAGTTCTGCGCCCAGCGGCAGGTCGAGTGGGTTACAAAATCATGCTTGTGGCTTAGGACCAGCTTAGCTTTTTTTTAAATGGACCAGGATAGAAATAGAAAAGATCAGGAGTGTCTATGTAATAAAAATAAACATGGCCTCATAAAATCTGAATTTCAGTATATATTAATACATGTATCATACTTATATGTATGATATTGGGCTGTATTTGTACTGAATATTCATATTATCAAAAGGCACAATACCAGAGGGTATTTCTCACCCTATTTCGAGATCATGGGTTCCTTCCAGAATCCTCTGTGATGGACGACTGTGGGGTTCGCTACCCAGCATCCATTCCGCCTCCCTTTGGGATGACCCTTCTCCCACAGTTTTAAACACCATCTCTGTGCCGGTGCCTTCACACACTGAAGGACACTGTTCAGGCATTGGCCTGTGTGGGGAGCAGCAGGGAGGCCGGCGTGGCCTGCGTGTGGTGAGCGATGGGGCAGGAGGGAAAACGGGAGAGACAGGGAGGGCTGCCTAGATCCTGGGGAGGACACGGGGTTTCCTTCCAGGGCAGTGGCCCCTGAGAGGTCCGTGACTGAAAAATGGATTGAGAAGTCCCCTCCCTCAGGCCTCACATGGACGCCTCCCTGGCATCTCATCAACAGCTGAGCACCTAGAGGCACTCTCGCTCAGTCACCATCTGGTGGAGGCCTGGACCAGGTGGAGGTGAGATCACAGGCAGGGCAGGGGTTGATGTGAGCCCTGCGGTGCTGGGCCCACTCCTCCCCACTGAAGTTTGGGCACTCTCAGGGGTGCCCCTCTGATACTGCCACACGGTTCCCGACCAGAGAACCGCTGGAACGGCCCAGCTCTCTTTTCTCTTTGGTCTTATCGGCATCTTCTTAAATTTCAAGCAAATCCCCTGTTTGCTCACATTTTCCAGAGGTGATTTTTGGGGTTTGCAACCAGCCTCCAAACCGAGACACCCTCAGTCCCATGAGTCTTACAGGCAGCTTCATAATGGATTCTCAGACCCCTGAAGCCCTCCCAGGATCTGGAGCCCCTGTTTTAGAGATGGCGCACGCCAGCTGCCCGGAGCGTCATCCTCAGAGCGGCCAGGCGCTGTGCAACCAAGATACCCTCCACCTCTGCTGGCTCAGCCAGCACCAACTGACTTGTGTCCCAGGATGACAGACCCCAATGGATGCAGAGCTTCTGAGTTCCCCCAAGTTTAGTTACTTAGAGGGAATGAATTGCTCCCCCGACCTCCCCGGGGCTGTTTTGAACTCATCCCAATCTTCTACCACCCCCCAGTGGTCACTGTGTGACATGGCCTCTTCCTTTTTGCCCCATGACACAGCGAGCTCGGATTTTGCCTATTTCCGGGGCTGTTTCATTTAGTAAATTGCTACACTGCATTCCTCTCCCTCAAATATTCCCTATTCACCTTTCTCCCCGCTGAATATTCAATAATTACAAAGGGAAAAGTAGTAATTTGTCAGACACCATCTAAATCAAGTGACCTAAGTTATCAGTAATGTCACAGATCGACATCTTGCATCTCCTAATAGGGCGCCCTGAGAACACAACCACACTCCCATGTTATTCCCGCTCAATTCACTCATCACCTGAATTTAACCAAGAGGAAACATCAAACAAACCCCAAATTAAGGACATTATGCAAAATAATTGGCAGTACTCATACCAGTATCGTGCTCAAGGGAAAATACGACAGAAATTTGATCCTTACTGAAAGAGACTACAGAGAAACATCTAAATGTACCAAGAGATATTGGACTGGATCCTGGAACAAGAGAAAACGGTGGTGGTGAATGGATGAAACTGGACTAAGGTCTGTACCTAGGTAATAGTATTGCATCAGTGTCAGTTTCTGGGTTTTGATCATTGCACTGCTCAAATATCATAAGATGTGAATACTGGGGAAGCTGGGTGAAAGCTATATAGGATGCCTTGGTACTATTTTTGCAACTTCTTGGTAAATCTGAATTTAATTTGAAAGTTAAAAAATTTTAAATAAAATAGAGTACGTATTTCAGAATATGGGAGGGAAGCTCACGTACCCAGCATGGGTCAGAAGCCCCACTCAGTAGCAGCGGCAGCCACAGTGGGCATCCTGCTGTCAGGAACTTAACACTGGACTGAGGGAAAACCCGGAACCGTGCTGAGCAGGGGAGGCAACCAGGATGACCCCACCTGCCTCTGAGCTCCCTGCAGGAACCGTAGCTGATTCATCTCTGGGCCTTTGACCTCAGTCAAAGGCACAGGGCAGACTTCTTCACGTGCCTGCTCCCTGCCCACGATGGGGAAACAAGCACTGAATTACAGCTGTGACGGCCCTTACACCCGGAGCCCAGCTGCATAAGCGATTGTCCATCTTGGCTGTAGATAAGGAAGTTCACAGTTCTCAGAGCTTAGCCTGGCCTTGGGGACCTTGGACTCACCTCCTGGTAAGCCAAGGAGGAAGCAGGCAGCAAAGTTGCCAATCAGCAAATTAAGGTACATAATTCGGACCCCTCCATTTCCCACTTCCAACCCTTGTATTAGGAAAAACTCCAGACTCCTCGCTGTGGCTTAGTAGGCCTTGCCCACTCCTCCCTGACCTCATCTCCTCACCCTGCCCCGTCCTCACCCTGCCCCGTCCTCACTTCACTCCCCCAGCTCACCAACCTGGTTCCTGCCTCAGGACCTCTGCACTCAGTGTTCTGCCTGGAATACCTCTCCTGTAGATCTTCTACTGAAATGTCACCCCCTCAGTGGGGACTTCCCTGACCAGCCAATCTAAAGTATATCCTTTCTGTACTAACTGATGTGGCTCATTTGGTTGGAGTGTTGTCCGTAAACCAAAAAGTTCACCGGTTCAATTCCTGGTCAGGGCACATGCCTGGGTCGAAGGCCAGATTCCTGGTTGTTAGAGGCAACCGGTTGTTGTATCATCTCTCACATATCAATGTTTCTCTCCCTCTTTTTCCCTCCCTTCCCCTTTCTCTAAAATTTTAAAAAATATCCCCTTTCCGTTACTGTCACAACATGCTGTGTCATTTTCTTCATAAGGCTAGTCAGTGTCTCAAATGATTTTGCTTAAGACAGGGTCTGTCTTGTTCGTCCTGGACCCCAGCATGTAAAGCAGTGCCTGATGCATAGTAGGCTTGGTGGATATGTATTGCTACGTAACAAATACCTGCTCAAATTTAGTGGCTTATAACAGCAGCCATTGACCTTTCCCGGTTTCTGTAGGTGAGGAATGGCAGGGACTAGGCAGGGCAGTTCTCTCAGTTTTGGTGTCTGCGTTTCAGCTTCCTTACAGCCTGGCAGTCCCAGAGCAACTGGACTGCTTATGTGATGGCTAAAGGCTGAGTGCGAGTGCTCTGGCAAAGCAGGCAGGTCACATCCTCTGTTGGGACCTCACCTTCTGCGTCCCAGTGTGGTTTCTCCTGTGTTGATGGACCAGTAACGAGACCACCCCCATTGAAGGGAGGGGAGCCAACACTTCACCTCTCAACGGGAAGAGGGTCAAAGAACTTGGGGTTGTGTCTTAAAACCACCACAGTAGGTGATGAACAAATATTTGTTCAACAAATAAATATTGGCTACATTAGCTTGTTAGGGGAGACCAGATAAAGAAAGCAAAGGGAAGCCTAAAGGGCGTGATGCTGGCAGCCACTGACAGTGATGAAAACTGTGAAACCAGTGGAACTTCAGTTGGCCTGTCAGGCTGATGGGTTTAGCATCTCTCCATGTGCCTTGAAAAACCACAACTGGATTATATTTAGCAAGTGATGACATGTTTCTGGGAGTTTCCCAAAATGTGGGATGAATGTGATACATGAAATGACTTTAAGAGACGTGTAGACATGGCATTAAATGATACCAAATCACATGGATTATAGTTGTCCCATTTTCAATTATCTTTCATGCCTCCTCATCATGTCAAGGGGAAACTGCAGTTGAGTGATAATAGGCCCTTAATCCACCTCTAATATTTGCTAATCTCTCTTTACGCCAAAGAAAAAGCCAGCTTGGGGATCTTCACCTTGGCAAGCAACAGTAGCCATCCATTTTGTTTTTACTTATTTTGTGTTACTGTTTATTTTTACAATTACCTCCTATTTGTGGTTTGTAGTTTTCTATTTTAAATGGTGACGTACAGTATTTAACATAACTTTAAACCAAAAAAAAAAGGCAGAGAAAGAAAAGTATTAATTATTAAAGGTCAGAGGGTTCAGGGATACCACAGAGGCCAAGAAAAAGATAAGCAATGAAACCAACACTCTAGAAATGAGAAAACGTAATCCACACACTGCTACAGACCACCACATGGACTTGGTGACCCTCCTAGGGCATGGTGGCAAAACCCATGGTAGGAAAACCCAAGTGTCTATCAAATAAAGTTGGAAAAATAGTATTAAATATACCCACTCCCAATAATAAATAAAAGTTCCATTTAAACCTTTCCGAACAGTGAATATCAAGATCTAATGTGCATAGGAAGCCCCTGAGTAGCTTGTTAAAAATGCAGATTCTTATTCAGGATTCTGTATTTCTAATAAGCTTCCAGGTGTGGATGCTGCAGGTTTGGGGAGCACTGAGAAAGCAGCAAGCTCCAGAAAGAAATAGAGTGTACTGCTGTGCATTTCTTTCCAACTTGATGATCAGTGACATTCACACCACTAGCCTGAAATCGGCAAAGAAGTATTTATACCAAGAAAATCAGCACTGCAAAAAAAAAAGAATAAAATAAAAATTTAAAAAACCAGCACCGCAAAGCAGAGTTCAATTAATTGTTTTATTAATTGTCTTCAAGATTTCAGAAAGTAACAGGAAAACATCAGTAAAGTTTACAATAAATTATACATATATAGACACACACACACACCACACACTGACACGCATGTTTCCCCCAGAGAAGCGCTTGTTAAATATCTACACACACCACTGGTTGTACAGACACACGCAGGACGACAAGGTAGGTACACAAGTCCTACATTACAGGTTGGCAGGCCTCTATAAAGACCTAAATCGCAAGCATTTTAAGTTCTGTTAGCCACACAGTGTCTGTTGAAAAGACTCAGTTCTGTGTTGCAGCTGGGAGGCAGCCATAGACACAACATAAATGAGCGAGTGTGGCTGTTTTCCAATAAAACTCTATTTATGGACACTGCAATTTCAGTTTCATACAATTGCCACATGCCCTGAGATAGTCCTCTTTTGATTTTTTTCCAACTGTCAGAAATGTAAAATCCTTCTTGGCTCACAGGCAGACGTGGCCCACAGGCTGGAGGCCCTTCTCCTTTAGGCGAATCCGAGGAGGAGTGAGGGCGGGGCTCCAACCTGGGTGAGACACAGGACACAGTCCCAGGAAGAGGGATCAACAAATGCGACGGTGCTGAGGCTGGAAGGAGCCCGATGTGCTTCCGGGAGGGAAGGACGCGCGTGGCTGAAGGGCCCTGAGCGAGGGGGAGCACGGCAGTCAGCGCAGGGGGCGGTGTAAGCCTGAAGAAGAGGCTGAGCAGCGACTCCAAGTGCAGCACAAGGCCCTCTGGAAGCATTAAGGAAGATGAGCCCTTGATCCAGTTTATATTTTTGAAAGATTCCTCCGCGCGCTGCTGTGCGCAGAGCAGAGCCTGGCGCTCTGGAAGAATGGAGGGAAGGAGAGCAGGGAGAGAGGGGGCTGTCTAGACTCCCAGAAGAGACGGGGATGGTCTGGCCCGGGGTGGTGACAGCCGAGCTGGACGGGACCTGGGAGAGTGAGGCGGAGCCCACGGGGAGTTCTGAGAGACGCAGAGCGGGCGAGTGGAGGAGCAGAACCAGGCGTCCCACGTTCAGGTCCGCCTGTGGGGCCGATCCGCCCAGGGCGCTGTTCCGCTCGGGGCATCGGCTTACAGCCGTCCTGGAGCTCCCGTTCTGTCGGCTCGGAGAGGTCAAGTCCCTTGCGCCGGGTCCCCCGGCCAACACCTGTGTCCCTCCCTCACTGACACCCTCCCTTTGGACAGTGATGTTTAACCTCTGACCTCTGCTTCCCCTCAACCACTCCCCCATCTCAACATGTGGCCTTAAGATAGTGTATGCCCAAGGTAGTTGACTCTTAGAAGAGGAAACTGAAGCCTGAGGTGACGGGGAGCCCCCCCCCGCCCAAGCAGGCCTCCCTCTCCAGCCACTGACCTGCGCGCGTGGAAAGACCCCGACCCCTCCCCGGCCCGCAGACCCAGAGGTTTACCTAAAGGAAGCCTTCCCTCGCGGTGCAGTGGATGGCTCCCTCTCCCACCACAGGGATCCCGCAGAAAGCACCGGCGTCAAAACCCAGCGCCCGCCGCGCCCGCCGCGCCCGCCGCTTCCGCCTCACACAACATTTGTTCCACCTGGCCAGCGACGTTCGTTAGGGGCATTGCGCTAGTGTTCTGCCGGGTCCAAGTCCTCTTGATAGGCGGGAAAAGGCGGCGGGGCGGTTAGTGCGCAGGCGCCCTCTCAGAGCTTGGCTGGGCCCTGACAGGTATGGGGAGCTCGATTCCGCGCCGGACTCGCCGCGCAGGCGCGTCCTGTCAGCCACGCTCGGAGTTGGCTAGGGAAGTGCGCACGCGCAGGAGTTTCTGGCAGAAAGCAAGGGAGCCGCGGCCGGCGCAGGGCCTTGTGGGAGGGCTTGAGGAAGTAAAATGGCGGACCTGGCGAACGAAGGTAGGGGAGGCGCCGTCGGGGGCCAGCTGGCTGCCAGGGAACGGGCGGGGGAAGGATCAGGCGTCACAGGCCCCAGAGGTCAGCACCTCGGAGTGCGGGGGGTCCCTTTGCTCTGGGATAGTGGCACAGTGAGTCCCGCAGCCGCCCGGTATTGCGTCCCCTCCGGCCGAGCTCACCGGCCCGGCCCATCACTCCCAGCAGCCCCGACACTGCCGCCGACCCACTAGAGGACTCGGGAGGCCACTGGGGCCACGACTTTGACGCCCTTCTGCCTGCGGACCAGGCCGAGGGCTGAAGGGCGTGGGAGGCGCGGCCTCATCTCCTCGGCCTCGATTGTAAATAGACGTCCCGGCCTGGTCGTGGGCCCAGCATACCCCACTCTCTCCCCGTCCCTTCGTTCTCGGGGACCCTGCCTTCCCCCCACACCTCGACCTGGCTGCCTAGCCGACCCACCCACTGGTCCTGTGGAGTTCTCGTCCACTGTGGGCCTGCCCATTACGAGGACAGCATACGCTCGGTCTGATTTCAATCCCCCCCCCTCCCACCCCGAACTCGGCCCCCAGTTCCCGCCAGTTCCCCCAGATCCTTAGTGGCGAACTGAGAGTTGCCCCTGGTCTAGCCACGTTTAGGCCCGGCAACAGGATGTGAGCCGCAGAAAGTCTTGGCTTCTCTTTGGCCCTTTTTTGCTTCACTTACAGAAAGAGATGGAGACTGTGATCCCCCTCCTCTGTGGAGCGCTGACATCCCCACCTGAGCGTTTTTGACAAGATTACAGTTCCGAATTCCCAGAGAAAACAATCCATAAGCCGATGGGTTGATATCGCTGTAGCTTCAGGACTTCCAAGGCCTATTTTTAGCTCCCTCCTTTTCTAGGTGCACAACTACAGGCAGGCTATGTCCCTGCCTGGCCCTGATTCCCAGTAACACGCTCCCTGCTGTGGGAGGGTGTCCTGAGGTTTCCATACTGAACTGCATGAATGCATGAATGATAATAAGTGCTCACCCTGGTGGAGCATTTGGGATGGGACCAGGTACTGTTCAAAGTCTTGATCACCATGTGTTATTGGGTGATAACAAAAGCTCCATGAGGTAGGTAGCCTCATGCTCTTGGTGAGAAACCTGAGTTAGAGTGGTTAAATGATTTGTCCAAAGCAGGTCACACAGCTAGTAAGGAGCAGGGATGTGAATCAATGAGGTCTGCCTTCAGAACCCCTCCTGCCTTGGCCATTTTATGCCAGCTCTCTTCTATAAGATAAAGGGGCCCATTGAGGGTTGAACTTTCCATTCATAAGATCCATTTAAAGGCAGAAGTGGGAATGGGCAAATGGGAATCAATATGACATATTTTATATATTTACATCTTCAGCCTATCCAGTTTCTTGATCTTAAGACTCATTTTCAACATCATCTTCAACATCTCCATTTGGATGTCTAATAAGCATATCAAACAAAATTTCTGTCTTTTCCCCCAAAAACCCATCTATCCCACAGTCTTTCTCCTATTGTAGTAAATGGCAAGTCCATTCTTTGAATTGGGCCCAAAACCTTGAAGTCACCTTGACTTCTCTCTTTCTCTTATCTACTACAGCAAATCCTGTCAGTTCTACCTCAAAAATATTTCCAGAGCGTGACCACTTGTTGCCCACACTGCTGCCCTTGGCCTTCCCATTCCCTTCCCATTCCCATCTAACAACTGCTCGGCCCAGAAGCCATAGCGACCCCTGATACCTCCTAACCTCCCCTCCCACCACTCTCTCCCTGACTCAGGCTTTCTCAGTGTCCCTTGAGTAGTCCATAAACTCCCTCCGTTGTGCCTATGCTGGTTCCTCTGCCTGAATCACTCTTCCCCACAGGTCCCCATGGCCCACTCCTTCACCTCCTTCAGAGTTTTACTAAAGATTATTACTGAGACTTCCTCTGGGCACCTATGTGAAGTTGTACCCACATTCCCTATCCCTTTTACCCTGCTTTATTTTACTCCACAGCACTGAGTCACCATCCGGTGGGCTAGGCTTACTTGTTTGTTCAGTTACTCTTCTGGAATATAAGCTCCATGAGGGCAAGGCTTTCTGTCTGTCGTTACTGTGGAGCCCTTCCATCCAGAGCAGTGCCTAACACAGAGTAGGTATCCAAGACACATTTGTTTAATAATTAATTAATTGATTGATTGATGCAGTGAGGACCTTCATCTTTTAGCATAAAGGGAAAATGATGGATTCCTGCTTTTCAGGGATGCCATTTCTAGCATATGCCTGACACATCAGCTGTCAGTTGTAAATCACATAGTTGACCGGGTAAGTGTAAAATAGAGAAATGGAATAATTTTTGCCTAATAAATGCCACACTCACCTAGTACTTTGCCTCCAACACTACTTGTGGCATAGTTGTCCTCAGAAAATCAACTCTCAGTGGCTTTTTATGCTTTGCACACCACTACCATCCTTTAATTTGTTGATATGTGCTTCTTGACTCCATTTGTGGGATGTTTAATTTCTTATCCACTGTGTAAACTAAGACTTCCTTGCCTATGCAGTTTGAAACTCTAGGGACTGTCCCCATCTATGTGCTTTCCCTCTTGCCGTTCAAGTTCCAAATGCCCTCTTGCATTCTGTCTTTCCAGACTGGGATCCTAGCTAGGCCATCCGCACACCCTTTATCTCTCTTCTCTAGGCCATTGCCACCTCTGTATGAGTCTGAGGCAGTGGCTAGCCACCCCAACTGGGCATCAAGATTGCCTGGGGAGCTTTCTTAAAACCACAGATACTCAGTCCCCACACCCTGTCTATTCTGATTCTGTGACGTATTGGATAGGCCCTGGGCATCTGTACACTCAAAACGTAGCACAGGTGATCCTGATATGCAGCCAGGGTTGAGAACCACTGGCTTGAGTTGGACAGGTTAGGAGTACTGCTTGTGTACAAAGAAATGTTTCTAGTTGTGTATCCAATACAGTACCTTGTTAGCCTCTGTTTCTATGGTGATCTTTTCAGGGATGCTGACAGCAACTCCCATAACCCTTTCTTGGTAGTCCTGTAGTCTGTGACTTTTAAAGTACATTTGGATGCTTTTCCTCTAGAAGTTGAGCGTGTGTGTGTGTGTGTGTGTGAGTGTGTGTGTGACACTTGTGTTTTGGGATATTTTGCTCTGGCATTTCACTATTGATAACATCCCAAATTCTAATCATCCTGTCTCGAGTTATTTTTCATTGTAGGCTGACATTGGATGGCAGCATTTTGACCTTGGTAAAGTTAAGAATGGGAAGAGGGTAAGCAAAGTGTGTCTGAGCTATAGGACATCTTGAATTCAAGATCCCAGTGTTAAAAGATACCACATACATGCCTAACCAGTTCCTGCAGTGCACGTGCATCACCAACCTCCTAATCTGGTGGAGCTTGGCAGGCACAGCTGCAGCTTATTTGTGGCCAGTGGGGTTCCGGTCCTACCCCATCTGTGGGGCAAGAGCCTGTCCCAGACCTACCTTGGGCCTGGGTAGTTTGTCTCCAATATCTTTGGCTTGAGTTCTAAGCTTATGTATGTCCCTGTCCTTGAAATGATCCAGAGCACATGGCAAAGGGCAACCGGGGGGTTCCTAGGTGCCAGTTTGGTGCAAAGGCTGAAATCTGGCTCTCCTTAACCTAAAGGAAATTTATATCCCCAGGCTCCACTGGGTTGAACAACAGGCATCTAATGGGTTTCAGACTTCTTAAAGAAACCACTGAGATCCATGGGATGTTGACGAAAGAGGAGTGCAGGAAGCCATAGAAAACCCTGTAAAAATCCCAAGTCACCCTTTCCTGTGCCCTTTTAAGGTTGATGCAGTGTCTTAGATGGCTAACACAGAAGGGTAAAGTAAGTCTCCATAACTCCTCTTTGGACCCTGTCTGGGTCCAAAGCTCAAGCAAAAAGAGACAAACAAAAATATCCCATATATATTTGAATCCTTATTGGCCTGTGGATAGGTGTGGTAGAAACCTGAGATCCACTATGAAGGGGGGTTCTCAACTTTGGCTCCATTGACATTTTGGGTCAGATAATTCTTTGTGATAGAAGCTGCCTTGTACCATATAGGATGTTCAGCAGCATGGTGGCGAACCTCACTCTACCCGCGAGATGCCAGTAGCACCCACCCTCCCCTGCACTCCTTCCTCGGGGGTTGTGACAACAAAAAAATGTCCTCAGACATTGCAAAATGTCCCAGTTCGGGGTGAGGAGAAACATCAGCAGTTGAGATCCACTGGTATAAATTGAAGGCAGGCCCTGACCAATGTGGCTCAGTTGCTTGGGTATTATCCCACAAGGTGAGAAATCGCGGGCTCGATTCCCAGTCAGAACACATGCCTGGGTTGTGGGTTCCATCCCCGGTCGTGTGGGTAGAAGAGGCAGCTGATCAATGTTTCTCTCCCTCTTTCTCCTTTCCTTCAGCTCTCTCTAAAAATAAATAAAATCTTTGGAAAAAAATAATAAAGTGATGATGAGGCACAGGCTATTCCCTATAAATTGGATTTGTGTTTTAACTCTGTCTTGTGCTCTCTGAGTGACTTTAGGGAAATTCTTAACCCTTTTGAACCTCAGTTTCCTCCCCAATAAAATGGGAATAATGATGATCATGTCTATGTTGTGGTTGCTGGGAGCACTGGCTGAATTAATGCGTATAAATTGTTCAATACCTGTCTCAGCCCACAGTGGTAAACAGTAAATGAGAGCTGTTTTTACTACAGTAGACTCATGTAATAGACACAATCAGCTTATATGCTGAAGAAAGAGAGTTAAGAGATGAATCCAAATAGTGCTGGCCACTCTGAATGAGGTGACCCTGGGTCAGCCCTTGATGGAGGCCGGCGGGAGCTGGTCCTC